AATGAAATATAATTACATACAAACATCTTTAATGATTTAATTTAATTAAATAATTTGCTAATTTGCTACGGTTTATTTCACTCGCAGCACTCACACAGGCAAATGCAAGTAAATGCATGCTTATATATTCCTAAATATATATATATATATATTTATTTACATACATGTATATACTGGCATCTGCGCATGTGTAAGCGCATACAGTGTAAGTTGTATATACCGTTAGACTAGATGTAATTGACAACGAGGTCGGGGATTCAGCTTCACTCCACAAATTTTAGCTTCGCTTTAGCACTTTTGGCTAATATTCRGCATACATACATATTTGTTTAGTTTTTGTTGTTGTAAATATGTATATAGCAATTAGTAATGTATAATATTAGATATATGTACTTATATATATAGAAATATGTATTATGTGTAAAGTATGTATGTGTTTAGCACACAAACAAAACAGTGATTAAAGTCTCAGGCATACAGTAACAACAACAATTGAAAACAGTTAATTAAAATGATCTGATTAATACTTAACAATGTTTACAGCGCGCATTAATATGTAAATATGTAWGTGTGTATGTATGTATGTATGTATATAAGTATATATACGAGTATGTAGCATGAATGCATGAATTACACATACATACATACAATAAATGTATAATATGAGTATGTATGCGCTGCGCAGGCGCGAACAACATTATTTGTTTTGGTTTTTGCTTTGATATGCTTTTACCTTAAAGATAGTTCTTGGTCGATATAGATTTGGCTAAATAATATTTTTTTAAAGTTTTTTTTTGGCATTTTCTTGATTTTATTTTATAATCAGTTATTGTTTTTGTTGTTTTTTTGTTGTATTTTTCCTAATTTTCGTTAATTGAACTATGTCGCCTCCTAGTGTGCACTGCCTACAGCCCTGAGTGTCTTTAGAACTGCAAGTTGCGCCATTGGCCTACTTAACTGTACATATGTAACTGTAATTGCACAGTCCTTTATTTAAGATAACTCAGCGTTTTCAGTTCCATCATTCGTTTACAAATCGTCACCCAATCGATGTATTTCGTCTAGCATAAAGTCGACATCCTGTTCGGTCACAGCGGCCGATGAGATTATCGAGCGGAAGAAATTTGGTCGTCGATCGTCTGGCTGGTAGCCGACCATCAGCGAACCTTTCTGCATCATGCGGCCTTTGATGATGGGGCAGATCTGTGGAATTAAGAAGATACAGCATCGTTAATTTATGTATATAATTTAGCATTCAATTTGCAGGTGGTCAAAATATTACTCATACGACATGGTGGCTACTGAAAGTTCAGATATTCGTATCCCAAAAAAACTTGAAGTCTTCTGATTTGAAAATTTCTCCCATATGAAATGGACTCCAAGAACTCGAGTATTGGAAACATAATAATTAATTCGATAGCTGTGAAAAGTATCTGTGGTCTGTGAAAAAAGATCCCAGAGTTAAAAATCTTTTTCTTCTATTTTTATGTAAGCCTCATTTCAGAGGAGCTTGATAGTTCGAGTTATAAAGAAACATTCGACATTGACGAGCTTTAAAGAAACTATGGTTTGCTAAAAGGATTCCAGAGTTTGGAGCTCAATCCCTCTGCATCAAGTAAGTCCCATTCTAGAAAGTGCTGTAGAATGGTTTGAGGTATAAAGATAAATTCGTCTTCTAAGAGATAGAAACCACCTGTGGTATGCTGAAAGCGATTTTAGAATTTTTCTCTATCTTACAAAATGTCGCTAAGATCTTCCAAGTGATGGTACGGCTTTTCAATGAATATGAGACGTAGAATTCGAAGTGTGAAATATCCTAATTTCAGTGATAACAGAAAAACTTGGAAACAATTATATAAGTATACGCCCAGGTAATTGTTATATCCTAAGGGTACTCGTCAATCAGTTTCTTTGAAATAGCCTTAGACGCTCAATTCCTCTACAGAAAAAGGTATTGCCACCTTCTAAAGGGATAAAAAATCGGGAGAGAGCATAAATTTGGAAGGAAAGTATCGACAGTATCAAAGATGACTTTACGAAGATCCGCCTTCTTGACAAATAAATTTGGGCTCATTACATTTGATAACTCGAGTTACATTTAGGTGAATCATGCAATATTTTAAGAGAGTCTGGAAAATTATCATCGTCGCATTAATCAAAATTGGAGAATTTTTTCGACCTCATATTTTTTAGTCTCGACTTAGTGTTTTAGGCAGAGGCTAGTCTGTTAGACGTTGCAGTTACTGTTGTAGCTCTTCAAAGATGAATAGAGATCTTGGGATAGATCATGACTAGGTTAGCTTCGAAAAATAGCTTTCTTTTATATTTTGGTAGTTCACTGTAGGTTTCGGAAAACCATTTTCATAAATGATTTTTCCATTTTTTCAAAAATCTTTGGTTTGAGGTTTATTACCCAAATTTTTGTAATTAATAAAAACTCATTACTTACCTTGGCCAATTCAGCTTCCTTTCTCTTATCATGTGCCACACCTCTTAAACGCTTTGGTATGTACCAGAAGGAAACATTGACCAACTCGGGCTCGAGTATCAGATGGAAACGGTCTGATTGCTCCCGTATACGCTTCACTTGGTATTCAGCGAGCTGCATTAAACGATCCTGCTGACGTTCGAAACCCTCATTGCCCTTGGAACGCCACTGCAGCCACAATTTGAAGATGTCGTTGTGTCGGCCGCACTGAATGACCTTGTCGCCGGTGTCATAGCTGATGTCGTACTGTTTGTCCGTCATGAATAGATATTCGGCTGACATTTGATTACAGCTAATCAATAGACCCTGCGGGTGAGTAAAAGAAAATGCAGCGGATTAGTGGAAGAGTGACATTTGTAGTGTGATGGGTGGAGAGTGAAGTGTTATGACTAGAGAGTGAAGCGCGCTAGAGCGTGTAATGGCTGTGCACATACTTAATGTTAGTGTGTGTGCGTGTTTACGTTCAGTTGCCAATATGTGTTTTGTTGTAATCTTGGCAGCAGATTTCGTTCTCACGCATTTAATGCGCTTTTCATGTTGAATCGTTATTTGTAGTTGTAATTGTAATTCCTTTCAAGCTTGTCAGACTATTTACTTTGGGGATTATGTGAAGTGGACAAAGTGTAGGATTGAAGTGAAGTAGAATTTTTGAAGTAAACTTAAAGCCGAAAAGGAGCGAAGAAGCAAATTGAGCTAAGTGTTTTTTTCGAGAAGCCAAGCTATATTTTTTATAATTTCGAGAATTTATTTTGCAATTAAACTAAATCTATTTTGTATGTACATATCTATATACTACAACAGTCACTTATATATATGTGCAGGTATATAAGCACCAATAACTGCAGAGCGTCAGCATGCCAAAAGCACATTTTGCCAATAAGTCAAGTTGAAAATTTAATTAAAATTCCAAAACTGACAGTTTGGCTTCGCCGAAACCGGCAATAACTTTCAAAAACAACTGTGACCAAAGCAAGCATATTGCTCGAATGACTTTTGTTGCTGTGTGTAGTTGCAGTTGCTCGTTTTGCTTATTGTACTGTTACAAAAATTTGCGACTAATGGCTTTCGGGGGTGATTTTGTAGGTATTTCATTTGGGTGCACGCACAACGAATACAATTTGAATTAGACAGACTCGCACATTATTGAAATTCCAACAACATACATTTGTGTGTATGTATATTGTACGAGAAAAGTACAAATCATGTTGAGCATTAAGGAGAGAGTTGAAGTGGAATGAACAATAAGTTAACAGGTTGAGCATTTAAGAAGAATGGAAAGCATACTATAAAGAAAACTCCTCTTGCTCCAAAAATCCATACTCCTATGTAGTACATACACAGTACTATCTTTTACAATCATGTTATCTTGTTCAGGATTTTCTAAAGCTAACAAAGCGGCTTAAACTATCAGATACCTTTCTTGTTTAATCGGTTAGTGCACTTGTTTTTCGAACTCGAAGGATATCGCTAGGTTATAGCAAGTAGTAAATATTTTAAATGCGTTATATCTAAGAAGAATTTATTGGTTTCTCAACACTAAGAACTATGTACATCAATAAAAAAGAGTATAGTATAGTATAGTTATAGACAGAGCAGAGAGAGGAGCCAGATCGGATACAATGCCTCCGGCGTTTGTAGTTCTCAGGGGAATACATTTATTAGCGCAGCCAGAACTGCAAAAAACTGAAATCCTTTGGTATCTCAATAAATGAGATCGTATTGATAAAATGATAATGAAGGGACAGCGTGCTTATTTATAGAATATCTCCAAACCACTGTCTATGAGTAGAACTTTATTACAAAAATTTACGTTCTGTTAAAAATGTGTTCGCTCAACTTATGGTCAACCGACGTTCTCGAGCTAAATTTTGCTCAGCTATGAGGCCCATTTTTGGTTCAATGGGTATTTAAATAAGCGAAATTGCCGCATTCGGGACGAAGAGAAATCTGAGGAGATTCAAGAGCTGTCAGTACATTGAGAAAAAACAACGGTTTGGTGGAATTATAGGTCCATATTTATTCAAAAATAATGTGGGTGAGAATGTAACTGTCAATGGTGACCATTATCACGAGAGCACTCCGATGAGCAGATAATTTCACGTTTTGGGCCGATCGATTGGCCAGCAAGATCGTGTGATATCACACCGTTTGACTTTTTCCTGTGAAGATATGTAAAGTCTAAAGTCTATGCGCACAATCTCGCTTCGATTCAGGCGTTGGAGCAAAACATCAAAAGATTAGAAAAAAATGCTCAACGATTCTTCGAAAATTGGACACAACGGATGGACCATCTGAGACGTAGACGTGGCCAACCCTTGAAAGAGATAATCTCCATACAATCTCTGTGATAAATGGAGAGTAGTGTTCCGAATTTCTTATAAATTTTCTTCTTAACTACAACCTAGCTTGATCCATATATGTAGGTATACCGATTGTTTCAAACTGGTAATAAAAAAAGCTATTTGGAATGTGTTTGTTTTCCTAGGCTTTATTGATTTTTCGACTTGTGTACAGTACATATGTATTTGCATGCAGTGTATTTTATATAAAGCTATATATGTATATTTATATTTATAAAAAAAATCTACTTACATCCTCCTTGAAATGTATGGTGGAGCACTGCAACAAGGCGCCCATCAATTTATGTGGATTCCAGGTGACCGAATCGGCTCTAAAGCGCGCATAATTTAGATCGCATAATAAAAAGAAGAGAAAAAATCGAAATAAATTATTGCATAATTGGCCGCAACTGTGAACTCATAATTAATTATTAAGTAAATGAAATTAATAAATTATATTTGCCACAATTAAATGGCATTCAGCAACAAATTACAAGCAATTAACGCGAGTCCATTGACTTCAGGGTATGCCAGAATAAAGCTGGAGGGATGAGAGCAACCCTCAGATGCCCTCACTTACATGTATATACAATATAATTTTCTGTGAGACTCGTTGAACGGCCGCAACATTTAATTCAATTCAAACAACACGACAAGGGGGAGTGAAAAAAGTTGTTAGCTGCTCGACAGGGGTGAGGATGAGGCAGGCTGTGTTGTCGCGTTGACTATGAGCGCGCCTGCTAAACATCCCTCTGGGAGCTATTTACGGTTTGCCACACAGATGCTGCCAGCAATTTCGACTTTACTTGGCTGTGGTTGTGCCTCGGCGGCTTGGGTCGATTGTTGGCGGCACGCAGTCTGCGTCGCAAGGCCGTGATGATATCTTATTTGTTCAGTAGAACGTAAACACTCAAATAACATTTGCCAGATTTCAATTGCAGCGTTTATACTCGACATAAATCTCGATACACAGACATATATATAATATGCATGTGTGTGTTTGTCGTAGAGTATATCTCCGGAATGTGTGCGATTATTTGTTGTGTTCTTGAGGAGGCGTTCGTTGGCACTGGCTTGTAAGTGGCATATGAGTGCTCTTCATCAGGTTCATCAATAAACGGTTTTGTTGGTGGCATTTCGGTTTTTCCCACCGGAATTGATAGTGATTTGTGTGCAGCATATCTTTTCGTTGCGATACGAGTATCATTTACTTTTTTATTAATACTAGTCAAATACTTATACTTTCGGTGGTTTAAGAAAGATTAATTGTCTTTCTATGAAGATTCAATAAATTACATATGCAGAATTGAACACATTTCACAAGAAGATTATAATAAGATATTATTTGACACTATGAGTACTTCTCTTCATATTAGAGGAAAAAACTTTGCAGCACTGCGATCAATCTTATAGCAATCTACCGATTGTCACCTTTCTTTCAGTTGGTAATCTTTATTATAACTCTTATTGATGACTGAATATTTTTAATAAGAATTTTGCATTGTAAAATGTTTAAAAATGTCACTCACGTTACTTAATAAAAAAACCTCATTAGAAGAAAGGATTTCATTACAAAATGCTCATCAATGACCAATGTAATGTATTCTCTCATCACCTAATTTTATCGATGAGCGGTGCGGCATAATAATTTCTATCATTTTGTTTTATTACAAACTCTTTTTGATACTTTGAAGTAAACAAATATTATGAACCTAAATTTACATTCAAATTAGAGTGGTTCGACTTTTTTTCTATAAAATCGCGAATGGGAGGGCAAACTTTGTCTAAGATGCTATTGGTCTAAAAGCGATTTCGAGTCAACGATTTTTCATGCGAGGCTTAAAAATAATGACTAATCTTTTGTATGGGAGATATATTACAGTGTCTGATCTTGTTGATTCCGATAATGAATAATAGAATACCAAAATGCATCTACGTGTTAAATATCATTGGGATACCTCAAAAACTGGCGAACATAATTTTTTAATTCTAAAAAACTTCGCTTTAGAAATCGGTAGTTCGAAACCGCTTTTAGACGTATAGTTTCTTAAGCAAAGTTGTTCAAAATGTTCTGTAGAATACTTCCCGCATTTTTCGTTATTATGGCTTCCTGTAAAGAGGAAGTATATCTCTTTTCAGTTTAAGGTTTTTCGGAGGGGTAAAGAAACTATTTAATCCTGTTATTAAAATAAACATTTTATATGTACATCACAGAATATGGACGAGATCCATCCTAATATCAATGTTAACTTCCGCATGAAAGAATCCTATGAGTATCGAAGAATATAAAATGTTAGATTGGTTTAAAAAAAAAAGGAGTTTTTAAGGTTTTCGGATTTTATACAACCAATGATCTTGATAAGGAATGTTCTAGAAATATTTTACTGCCTTTATAAGTTACGTAACAGAAAAATAGAAAAATAAATATCATAAGATCGTTATAAAAATAACTAATCATTTCAACTGTGAGCAAATCTATCAAGGTTAGAACTAAAGAATTTATTTCAAAGCTTGAAGATAGGATTTTTCTTGCTATACTGAAAGATATTGCAAATATGGTTTTATAACAGATGTGTGCTTTTTGGCTTCTCTTTTTAAGATATAGACCAGATTTTGTTAACTATCCTATAAATTGACGATCACAGACTTCTCAAACCATTTTTGAGCCCCTAATGAATTTGTATGAGATGTGATTATAGTTTGAAAATACAGGAGAATAATGAAATTTAATAAAGTAAAAAACCAGAGAAATCCGGCTATCTTGCAAAAAAATCAGAATGAATTAGTTGTTCTGAAAAGAAAGCGAAGACAGTAGGTAGTCTTGATCTAGGTGCAAAGGCTAGCACTAGCATTGGAATTGTAGCTTAGCCTAGCTCCAGAAAAGCAACTACATCACAACAGCCGGAAACATACCGAGTAAACAGTGATTGGCTACAAAGCAGGAAGGGAATGAGGCGACAAGAGCCAATTAAGGTCGATGATCCAGCTACAGAAAAATCGTAATGTCGCACTCAATCAAAAAGGAACTTATAAATCAATTCCAGGATTGCATTAGTTGTGCGAATGCAGTTTTGTCCAATTTTAAATTTGAACTGCTAAAGGCACAAATACAGCTCATACATCGATCGCTGGTACCAAGGCAAAGTCAAGAAGATGGTATAGAACTCCGAGAGATCGGTTCAGCTTTACAAGCCGATATATCCAAAGCACAGAGAGGTATATCCCGTAGCCAGGTTGGTAGCGGTCGTTAAGAATATCGATTTTATACAGGCCAAGAGTAAGGGCTTGGTCTCCGGCTACACTATCACAGTCGGACCCGATAATTTAGCTCATTAGAGCCTACCTTTAAAATTTGCCAACGGAGAGTAAATATTTGGAAAGGCTTTTGAAGACCTTACAGCTGAATTTGGCGTGGAGATCCATTGAACCGCTGGAAAAAGCCGGTGGAGAGATAGCTACGTATTCACGAAGGTCAAAATTGTGACATACAAATCAGATATCGATGCTACTGGGCACCTGACTGCTGATAATGAGATGGGTGAAATCGAGGAAGACCTCATGGAGTCATCGAGTACAGTATCGAGCAAGGTGAGAACTTTCTAGTCTAGTCGGGGTCTAAACTAGTTACGCAGGAACACAGGAACAGGATATGTCTATACTCTCTGTATACTAATTTTCCTCCACATCTCGTAAGATATTATTTAATGAAGTGGGAAGACCAATGTTCATTTCATATCAATTTAATATAAGTAAGCACATTCCTGCAATCTCAGACTACACTTAAGCATTCCAATCGCTAATCCTTTAATGCAAAAGTTATGTCATATGCTGAGCTGAGAACTCTCTAACTTTAGATTGCACAATTTGCCAGGTGCACCAGCTGTTGTTGACGCTTGCATTGCACAAAAAGCAATAACAAGACGGACAAATTGCAGAGTAGATGAATGATTTGCTCAGTTGTTGTAATCCTTTTGTTTCAAGTTGATGTTTATTGACATTCTTAACGGTAAAATGCACAACAAGAAAGAAGATGTTAAAGCAAAATGCGGGTCGTCCAGCATTGCGAGGGTACGGGGCTAAACAAATACGAAAATGGATTTTCAACAGCCACCCGCAGTCAATGCAAGAGTACTGGAAGGGAAAGCCAAGTGAAAAATGCTCAAAATTGAGCAGCGAAGAAAGGCGGCACATTGTTGAAATGTAATTGATGGCTGAGGTGGCTGGGTTGGCTGGGGTGTGTGTGGACTTTTGTAAAGTAAGGGCAACACTTTGACAGCTATACAAACACACATACTCCGACTCATATACACTCTTATAGAAATCAATTCATAAGGATTGCTTCTGCTTTGTGCTGCAAGCTAAAAGATTTGAAAAGGTCTGAGGAATTTTCGCTTAAAAGTTTAATTTGCTTTGCATTCGTCGCTGCAGTGACGCGAAGCTGACATAACTGCGCCGTAATCTTCTGCAGTGGAATGCAATAAAAACAAACGGTGAACCAATCACTCCACTATTTCTTGTATGTTATGCATTTCCTCTCACACACGCTGTCAGTCTTGTCAGCTTAAGCTAAGCTCACTCCGATAAAGAAGCTGCTACTCCAAACTTAAATGTAACTTAAGTAAAATAACACCATTTCTATCACTCACTTCCTCTGTTGCTGTTGTTGTACGCATTAAAGTCTGGCGGCTTGCGGTGGCGCTGCGACCATGCTAATCTTTAAATGGCCTAAGCACTCTCAAATTGATTACCATATCCATCAACGCCCGTTGCGCGCCTAATGCTATGCTTTAAATTTTTTTCAAGGCTTTGTATAAAGTAGCTCTAGCGCTTACACACAAACACTCGCACGCACTTTGCACTAGAGAGCAATTTATAGCGAGTAACCACTAATCTGTCGGGTTTTATGGGCCTTCTTTCACTTGCAGCGTTCAATTATGTTAAGTTGCGGTTATGCAAGTTCTTAGTCCTTCTTGTTGCCATGTATGGGTGTGTGCCTCCTATTGTTGCAGAATTGTTTTAATTGATGCTTCGAAAATGAATTGTATCATTAATAGAGGGTACCATGACAAGCAGTAAGCTTACAGTTCTCAGTTTGAAGCTAAGCCGAGCGTATGACATTTGATTAATGGTCGTTCAATGGCTGTGAAAGGCGCCATCGAAAGCTTTTAATGGAAAGCTGAAGCTTCAAAATCCAAATAGATGAGGAAGAAATAGTTTTTTTTACAGAGCACACATAATTCAAAGCAAATATTGATTTTAAAATTGTTTAAAAAATTTCATACTTTTTCATCTGAGACTAATAATTATAAGAAATGAAATATATGTACTCGAAAATAGTACAATAATTTGTTGCTGTGTACGGATTTATTCTGGATTTAGCTCGTAAAAGTTTGTTGGCTGACATCACTAGCTTGAATTGTTACCAAGTCAGTGTGATACAGGAATATTCGCCATAATTTTCGAACTTCAGAACCAGCATACAACAATGAATGAAATGGTCCTGAATGAATTGTCTGTCTATTAATTATCCTAGACTATTTCAAGACCGCAGCATACTCTTATAGAAACCTCAAAGGTGATCAAGTGACTGATGCCAAGAGCATACTGGAATTATGGATGGAACACTTCTAGAACCTGYTGAATGGCAGTGAAAGCTGAACACCAGGAGATGGCGAACCCGATTCCCCAATCGGTGATAATGGACCGGAGGTTCCAATGCTCGACCATGAAGAAGTTCCAATAGCAATCACGCTCCTGAAGAACCACAAAGTGGCTTGGGCCGATGTATTACCGGCCGAGCTCATCAAATACGGCGGCGAAGACCTGATAAGGAGAATGCATCAGCTTCTTTGTAGAATACGGTCTGACAAAAGCATTCCCGACGATTGGAATTTAAGTATGCTTTGTCCAATCCAAAAAAAAGTTATATCCCAAAATTTGCGCAAATCTGAGCCTCCTTAATATCGCATACATATTAGGCCTTATCGAGTGTAATGTGTGAAAGATTAAAGTCCACCGTCAAAAAACTGATTGGACCATATCGGTGTGGCTTTAGGCCTGGAAAATAAACAACTGAACAGATATTCACCATGAGCCAAATCTTGGAAAAGTTTCGTGAAAAGAGTATTGACACACACTACATTTTCGTCGATTGCTAAGTTGCTTTTCACAGCACGAAAATAAGCTGCCTTTATTCCGCTATATCTGAGTGAAGAGTTGGTGCTATGAGTTTTCGAGAGAAAGTAAAGGAACAGGGAGACCTTTACTCAATTGAGAAGACCAGGTGGAGAAGAACCTGGCTACACTTAAATTCTCCAATTGGCGCCAAACAACGAAAAGAAAGAACGACTGGAGTGCTGTTGTAAACTCGGCTATAACTGCGAAAGCGGTGTTTACGCCAATAAAGAAGAAGAACAATATCTTTATTAAGATTTTGTTAGTACTTAGAAAAAAGTATGATTTCCTACCATTACTTTTTTAACTTATTGTACATCTAGCAGATATTAGTATTAGCGATTGTTAGATCGCATATCTACTATGAGAATTAAGGAGTTAGATGGAACAGAATTCGTTATGGATATAGCGATATCAGACCATTTGGATGGAATTTCAATAGTTATTTCCTGATTAGGATACCTTCTAGACGTGAATGGAATTGAAGAGGATAATAAGGAAGGCGGATACTATTTAAATCTACACCAATGATTCCAAAATGGACTATGGAGTAGGGGTTCTTCCAAGCGGAAGTACTAAGCATAGGACTTCTGTGAAGGTGTTATAGATAGCAACCATATACGCAAAGAGCCAGACAGCACAGCTGATCTTGACGTCGCTAAAGATTATTTCCAGGTAGTCAGCAACTAAGCACACAAAATTAATACCATTCTCACCAGGAAAGAGCTTTAGACAAAAATTGCACAAATAGTTCAGAACAGGTGGAGATCTATAACAAAAGCAAGATTACGAAGAAGAGATGGCCTAAGTAAGATAGAACAAATACTAAAGACTTATTACATAGGTACAGCTACTATAACGGGGCATTTAGATAACATTCGCTAAAAATGTGGTCTACCATAAAGAAAGGGATATTAAATTAGAGGAATGGTGAATGGGGAGATCAGGATACTTTTTTTTTTGAAGGAAATTGGATAGGAAAAAGGCCACACAACAGCGAAAGAGCAAAGCGTCAACTATGCTTATAATTATATACATATGTCCTTGTTACTTAGTAGCTTATTCTGTTTCGACATGGTGACCTATTTATATAGGACATGTATTTGTTTCGTAAATATGTGACAACTGTTTGCCCGTAAAAACTTAGCGATATTCAGTAGATCGCAGATCACGTTAAAAGTTCGTTGATTCCAATCATCGACGAAGAAACACCCAAAACGTAGAAGAACGCATGACTTTAATGGACTTCTTACCAAGTAATGTCAAATTTTCGAGGTTCATACTTTACCCTATGTAATACATATGCAAATGATTATTCAGAAAACTCACCGTTCAATGCCCGAGAGACGGGGATGACGATATTTCCGTGACAAAAGCAGACCACCACCCCAAGCAGCCTAAAACAGTACAAGTAAAAGGAAAGGAGACAAAAGTAAATGGAGTTTATAATAATTTATATTAATTTTCTTAAATTTTTTTTGAAACTCTTCAATCACTCACATCTATGTGCAACCAACACTTGTACTTCTGGCAAATATCGGCTATCTGATTGATGTTGTCGAAGGCACCCAACACCGTAGTACCAGCGGTTGCATTGACGAAGAATGGAATGTGACCCTTGGCCTTTCGTTCCAATATCAAACGCTCCAACTCCGAAATGATCATCTTGCCATGCTCATCAGATGGCACCATAACACAGTGATCTGTACCCAGACCACAAACAGCAGCGCAGGACTTCACCGAATAGTGACATTGATCAGAGGTGAACATGACCAGTTGGCCGGGCAGACCGGCAGCACCGTGTTCCTTGTAGTTGGGGAACATTTTGTGACGTGCCGCAAGGAATGCATACAAATTGGAGATCGAACCGCCTGGTGCCAATATGGAGTCACCACCTTCCCAGCCAATGATTTGACGCATCTTCGACAGTACCACATTCTCCATTAAAATGAAGACGGGCGCAATCTCATATGTGAACATGTTGGTATTGGCAGTTGCAGTCAACCACTCGCCAGCCATCGAGACGATGTCCAGTCCGCATGACAGCTGATTGAAGAAGTGTGGATGCCCTGCGAAGTAGAGAGAAACAAAAGAGATTAAAACGATACTTGAGTAAAAGTGGTGAGTTTTGGAGAGAAAAAAATGTTAGATCAGAATTGGTTTATTATTATTTTGACAGATTAAAGATCATCCATTTTCCTACTTTTTTTTTTTAAAGAAAAAACACAGATTCTTCAAATTTGATGGGGAATGTTTATTATCACTCGATAGAAAATTTTTGGCATTTATTTTTTGAAGATTGTCGCCTTCATATGTTGGTCGCGGCTACGTCCCAGATGGTCCATCTGTTGAGTATAATTTGCGATGATACCTGTGAAGACCTGAATCGAAGTGGGTTTGTCCGATATAGTGAACAATCAACCAGCCCGAAGCCTGAAATTATGATGTGTAGGAAACGGCATCGTCTTGTTGAAACCAAGTTCGCCAAGATCAAGAGCTTTAATTTCAGGATTTAAATAGTGTCGTGATAAAGGTCGCCATTGACAGTTACGTTCTCACCGGCATAATTTTTGAAGAAGCATGGACCGATGATTCCACCAGCTTATAAACCACTCCAACCCGGTTTTTTTTTCTCGATGAAATGACAGCTCTTGAATCTCTTCAGGTTGCTCTTCGTCTCAAATTTAGCAATTTTTCTTATTTACATACCCATTGAGCCAGAGATAGACCCTATCGCTGAACATTATTTGGCTCGAAAATGTCGGATATTCGTGGAACTTTTCAAGAGCCCATAGAGCGAAGGGAAGGCCGAGCGGCTTCAGTTTTGTGCACATCTTAGGAGGCAGCGAAATTTGTAGGAACAATAGGTGCTATCTTGGCTAACTCCAGATAATGGGCATAGCCAGATAGTGTATTTCGCCGGGAAATCTGTTACGAGGAAGGACAAGATTGCACAATCGGAAAAGTGACGTCCATCTTGTTTTAGATTCAGAAGGTGTTATCAATGTCCTTGGCCGTACTGTATTTAAAGGTTTTTTCAATAGGGAGCTTCAACTTAAAGAGGCAACGCGGAGCTTTTGCAATTATTCGCGCTTGTCTATCACAACGTCACTCGACATAAAGCAGCAGATTGAACGACGCGAGACAGGCGGCAGACGATAGACGTTGAGCCATAAGCTAGCAACAGATGTGCTTGGCAGCTATGTCACAGAATACTCACACCAGAATCAAAAGACTCACTTCGATCAAAAAGAAAAGAGCAATTTTCGCTACCAATCTATGCTATGTTGAATGTTGAATGCAATCAAGAAGCGAAAGTAATACGCTCATTGCGCAGCTAAGACAATGGCACGTCCAGACAATGAGGAAACAAAAATATATATTAATATTTTTTATTGTTTACAAGTGTTTATGTGTGTATCTACGCTGACTTCCAGGATTTTGTGGCATCGTGGCGTCGGGAAGCACGCCTGAGCGCAGTTCAATACCATTGTATTCGAGGCCGAGGTCGCCGCTGCAAAGGTCAGTTCAACCGTGAGCGAACGCAGTTTGAGCAAATAGGCGGCAGACTCCGGCACATCTGGCATTTCCGTTAACAAATCGATATATTTTTTTCCCAGCGAAAATAAAAGTCCATAGAAAATATGAATAAGGTCGCAACTGTTTGTTGGCTAGCGGGGAAAGTAAGAGTGAGAGTCTTCTATTTAAATATATCCACACACTCGAATATTATGCAGAGTTGGTAGTGCTCTAATTCTAATAAATGACACACGAGCTACGCAGCTCTGCGACTGTTGCGAGTGGGTTCATAAATTGCTCATTTATTGCGGCTAATTGCGAATTGCAGCAACACAACAGCCAAATGGGACACAGGCGAAATCCCCAAACAGAGTCCACAATGAAATCGCAAACAAATACGAAACAAATCCAAAAGTAAATCAAAATACAAACAAGAAATAGTAAACAAAGCGCACAACACTCGCCAGCCGAGGCACACGAACTCGATTTGCCCAACAACGATGTGCCTAGTGTGAATTCGCTCCACAAGGGGTTGCAGTTTATGCACGAACCCTTCGTCTTAAGTCGTTGGCAGCTCAATGTCGGGTGCCATAAGTCGTGTGATTAAAAACCCATTGCCTCAGGCCTCGCAGGCGTCATTCATGTCAAACTGCACGCTCATACGTCTATATATATGGATTCGTATATGTGTGTGGACCAGCTGAGGCCACCAAACAGCATTTCCGCATGGAGTGAATCATTTGTCTTGAAGGGATCAGGTATGATTTAACGAAGGCAAACATTTCAATTTGCGCGCGGTGTTGCCGGCAGTGTGTCACAGTTGGCCTAAACTTTCGCCCAGCCAGTGTTATGTTATGGTTGTTGCTGTCACCCTCCGCGCACGCTGCCAGTCATTCATTCGTTCATTGAGCCATTCATTCGCATCAAAGGATCAGCGTGCAGCGAGTCAGAAAATAACAACGGATTTTGATTAAAGCTCTCTGCGCACACAAACACATGTACATAGATATATACACACATATTATATATATATATACATATATATATGTTTTTTTATAGAGAGATATTGAAGTAGTACTCCAATGCAGTGTCAAGCAGACAGTAGCGCCTGCTTGCTGCCAACTATGAATGAACATCGCTTATGTGTTTGTATGTATGCCATGCGGGTTGAGTATATCCTTGTCATGTCTATAAACATATATTTCTGTGGATTTCGTAGGCTGCTTGGGGTTGGCAGTAGCATATTATGTTGCCAATATGGAGTGCGGGGGATTACGTGGGATTATGGATCATAAATGGGATTTTTATCGCAGTTACGAAATAATAGCAAAAGCATTTTTGCGACCCAGCCGAGCTGGCCGTGTGAGTGGTAAAGTGAGATTTGATGGCATTCACATTAAAGTTAAATGCGAAAGTCATTGAAAATAGGCAAGTCAATGCTGGATTACCGTTATGTGTGTCTAGTTATGTCTCACTTTAACAGGAGTTTAACGAGTAACGGAAATCCCTAATTATTTTTAAGCCTTTGAAGAGTTAGTGTTTGTTATTGAAGTTCATACTTAGTTAACTAAAATTTATTACAGAACGTCCACTTTATAACCCATAATCAAGTTATCATGACACGATAGCGGTCGTCATTGACGGTTACGTTCTCATCGGAATCAGTTTTAAGGCAATATTAACCGATGATTCCAGCGGCCCACAAACCGTATCAAACCGTTGGTAACCTGGATGAAATAGCAGCTCTTGAAGCCCTCCAGTTTTCTTTTCGTCCCAAATGTGTCAATTTTGCTTGTTCACAATCCATTGAGCCAGAAATGGGCCTCATCGCTGAACAAAATTTGGCTCGAAAACGTTGGATCTTCTTGGAAAGATCCCATAGAGAGAAGCAAAGTCGCTTGGGATGGTCAAGTTGTATTTTGTACGCTTTCAATTTAGATGTCGACGTAAAATGCACAAAGTCATTCCATACGCCAGACCGAGTTGCTACGCAGGGACCGAATCGACTCTCCACGATTTTCGTGTGTACTCTCAGCTTCGGGTGCTATATTTTCTTCATTGCGTTTATTCGGTTGAATATTATGCAATAATGAATGTTGGATCTCAAGCTGGGTGATGGTTTTGCGAATAGTACGCTCAGGAGTCCGATTATGTTGACCATAAATCGAGCGATCCTGTGAAATTCTCTAGGCCTTTCCCTATTTTTCCCTACATTGCAGTTCAAACAATTAAAGAAGAAGATACTATTTAATTTTTGGTAATCTAACTACGGATCAAAACTGCCTTTTGGACGGGACGCCGGGATTTGCGGCGATCCTTCAAGCTGCCGGAATACTGCAGTATCAGGAAAGCTGTTGAGATAGATAACAACGAAGGAAACAACGTAAAGAATATCAATATTTCGATAAACAAGCGGTAATTAAAGCAATAATCTCACATCGCATTGCGTCAGAGAATGACTTAAGAAGCAGGGAGCCAGAATATATAGTGGTTGCCGGAAAGCTGTTTGCGGCTGAGTTCCAGGCCACAAAAATGATTGAGAGAGATTGCCAAAAGTGAATGTAATATCGCCAAGATCAAGGGAGCGGAAGAGAAACACGTAAGCTTTCTGCATCCGGTGGTTTTGAAAAGACTGCAGGACTGTTGTTTGCGTAGTCACAGGTAAAGCCCGTAATGCCCATAATAACGTTGGCATATAGTATGTGGAAAGTGCAGCAAAGAACGCATAAGAGCGACGCTGCGATATCTCCTCTGTTTATGTCCGGCCCTATCTAGAACGCTCCTTAGATATATAGAAGCTCCGCAGTTCAAGAGACTATATTAAATCTTAGAATGGGATAAAAAGTCTATATTAAACTTGAGCGCGTATTAATGATGAATTTCCATCTGGCATTACAAAGGACCGAAAGGAAAGGATCGATGAATGGCGTGACAGCCAGCAAGTACTACCTAACCTGACCAAATGTTCGGGATAATTTTTTTCTCGAATAATCTTTGCTTTGCCAAAGGTAAAGGATTAAAAAAATAAAGAGTCGATAAAGTGACAAGGACGCAAAGTCATAGTGTTTCGCAGCGCTTTCCATTGTAAATGATAAAGTGTATATGAAATTTATTTCAAACATACGTATTTTTTGATTCACAAGCTTATTAAAAGTCAAACGCTGCTACTTTGCATAATTGAATTTGTTAGACAAACAATGACAGTGCTTATCTGCTGGAGGTATGTTTGAACAGGCGGGCTACAAGAAGCTTAGTGTACTCTTCACTGCAGCGCACGAGCCAATCGCTCCTTCCCAGCGAAATTTGTCTTGGCATAATATTTGAATAATAATTATCCGCCACTGACAATTTGCATTAGCATATGTTTTGATGCTCCCAATCGCTCAGCACAGCATGGTGTCTCTTCTTCGGCGAGTGCGTATTGTGTCACTCGAGACGTGACTGGTTGCGCTGCGGTCGCATTAGGGTAGTTTGTGGCGCAGCACGAGCACGAATGAACAATGGACAGATAATCAGATCAACGCGCGGCTGATGCCATTTTATGGCCCATTGAATCCAGACTCTTAAAATTTACACCTTTCATCTGCAGACATGCGAATATGTTTACAGAAACTCTTTTCCTCACAGCCATAAAGGGTACGGGAATAGCTTTTTTTGCTGACAAATATTGTGGTTGGCATAAGTGCCAAATCAATCAAAATCCCTTACCGCCAAAGGATTGAAAGCCAAAAGTCGTGTGGCAACTAGGAAACTCGGCACTTTTGCTTGCATCATGAATGCCACACTGATTTCATTGTGCGCGAGCGCTTTTGGCCCGCCCCTTTGAGCGCTTCCTAATCGAATTGGCCACGTGACCACAATTGTGTTTGAAGTAGCGATAATAAGCGTATTTATGGCACTACGAAGACGTAGCATGCCACATAGTTGCAAGAAAGTATATGCCGCGGGGGACACTTAAAAGCGACGCCGCATGCCACACCACCGAACCGGATTCGCCTGCCTTGTTGCGGATGTGTCGGTGTTGGCGTTGACTTCCTGCATGTGTGTTTGTTATTGTTTTTGTGTCTAAAACTTTTTAATGAATTCAATTTCGGCTCACTTCTCTGCCGTTGTTGTTTTCTAAAATTCAATTAAAGCCTAAGAAAATATACAAACAAATAAATACTTTTCCTCAATCAATAGTGGACGTGAGATCGTGAATGAGTGCATAGAAACGTGAGTAGAGCTATCAATATTCAGTATTTGTATTTACTTCAATTCCGAGGTACTTTATCTACTTCGCTTACTTACCAGTCTTCACTTGATATTTCAGTGTTGTGGCACAATCTTCAATGAGCTGCTGTAAGGTCACAGCTCGATCGGGTATGTCCAAGTTTAGTATCGTCTTCATTTCCTCTGGATGATGGAATTCCAAGATTTTCTCATTGCGATCATTGGTCGCTTTGACAAAGTCCAATAGCACATCGATGACCTTCTGCAGGAACTCGCGGGTTTCAGCAGTGGCGCTAACTGTTGTTGGCAAAAGATCTGGAAAGAGAGGAAAATGTGTGGTTTATAAAAAGCCTGTTGAAATTATTCATAGACTATGTAGAGCCTTGAGCTAAATTTATAGATTGATAGATAGATGAAATACTTATTTGTATGGATTTAGTTGGACCGCATAAGAACGTGTAAGAATCAAAAAGCTTCTACGAAATGGTTCAGGTAACCCTCTTAATTCGCTGTAGTTTGTTTTCCTATGAATTCTAACAAAGTCCGTGGGACTTTTATGGTCTAAGATTGACGACTGTTTAAAAAAACTGACAAAACGCCTTGATGCTCTCACAATTCTGTTGAGGCGAGTACTTTAGATTCCAGTTAGATCTATGGGATGATTGAGCATATGAGATCCATGATATTTAAACCTTAGCGTAACGAAATTGTATAGTCCAGAACAAAGTACTGAGACAATACCACTCTATATATGGCTAGTTTTTTTAACCTTATCGCTTGGATGCTCATTGTGGAATGACTAAATAGAACCCTATAATTTGTTGAATCCTTTCTAAGCGTAATATATTTAAATTCGATCAAGGGGGCTCTTGTGAGACGTAATGAGAAAGAGTTTCTGAGATAAAACAGTGGCAAATTAAGGAGAAGATCCAAAAGAGTAACTTCTTCATTAATATCAGCATATTAGAGAAGATGCGCCAAATCTTGGAAAAGAAACGTGAAAAACGGATCGACACACAACACTTCTTCGTCGATTTCAAAGCTGCTTTTGACAGTACGAAAAAGAGCTGCTTTTATGCCGCGATGTCTAAATTTAGTATCCCCGCAAAACTAATATGACTGTGTAAATTTACGTTGAGCAATACCAAAAGCTCGGTCAGGATCGGGAAAGATCTCTTCGAGCCGTTCGTTACTAATCGAAGTTTCAGACAAGGCGACTCCCTATCGTGCGATGCAAATGGGTGTGGTAGTGAACGAGGGCAAGACTAAATATCTCCTGTCATCAAACAACTAGTCGTTGCCCTCGCGACTTGGCTCCCACTGTTGACACTCATAACTTCGAAGTGGTAGTAACCAAATAGCAATAAGGAAGAACGATGGGCGCGCTGTGGTAAATCGGCTATAACTGCGTAAGATGTGTTTACGCCAATAAAGAAGAAGAAGAAAATGAGAGGAATTTAAATTGCTTCAGTTATTTATGCTTTCCTAAGTTTTTCGAAACCCAAGTATGCTGGCTTGTTTTCGCCAAAACTTTGAGAGTTATGAATCGAAGAAACAACTGACATAACTGAAACGGATTGTATAATTAAATTGATACCTAATCTGAAGACCGCCTTAATGAGATATTCACATCTTCTTTCCGTCATGTTGCTATAGACTTGTTGACTATGCTGTGTCTTTGTAATATATTTCAAAATCAAACATACCACTCATGTATAGTGATCTCTAAAAAAAATATTTTTCTTATCACTGCATGATATATGACTATGCCTTACTCCGGTTGCCCCACGTCATTTCAATAAACTACACAAATATTGCATATCTATGCTATTATGGGAGTTCTTTTTTCTTTATGTCATAAAAATCAGATTTTATTTTAAAGCATTCTTCTTCCAAGAAAGTCCGGTAATCAAAAGCATTTGGTGGAGCATAAAAGACGAAAATATTGCTATTTTGCTGGAGGAAATTGCGGCTACAGCGCACTGATTGAAAATCGCCCTTTCCTGATGGGCGCTCGTCCTGTTGTTGTTATTGTCTCAATGTTGCAGCAAAATGCCATAAAGAAGGGTATAACAATACTGAAGCAAGTGGCAAACGTAAGCATATGTGCCTGTGAGTTAGTGCTGCACAGAATGGAGTGGATTGGTGGTGGCTTGTGGGCAAGATTGCTACACTCATACTTCAATCGACCCTTACAAGGTCGTACAGCTGGCGCATAACGGTGATGCGGGAGTGAGAAAAATCATTCATCAAATTTTGGATTTCGCATTCTAAATTAATTTTTTTTGCTAGCTTAAACAGTGGCGAAGTTATTTTAAGAATTTGGTTTCCAACCGATATGCATGCATATGTTTATATATTTGTATGCCTATCATATGCAAAATATTTGTTGAAGTAGTCCAAGTTACACGAAAGGGGACAACAGATTCTATCATAGAGTATATTATCTTTTATTAATAAAGCCAGTTCCGGACTAGGGTTACTTCTCTTTCGAAAATAAATGCTGAGTAATCTAAGACACCAGGAAAACCTTTGTATGGAACTGCTGTTCCTTTTGTAGGACATTTACGGATCAATAGGGATCAACTGCAGCTAATTTTAGTATACGTCTTCTTGCTGGTTGAAAAAGAAAATATATTCTAGTGGCGTTAAATAGCATGATCTTGACGTCCATTTGGCTGGGACATTTCTTGAAATTAACTACTCGGTAAACTTTGCACCCAATGTGTATATGCTTAGACGTAGAACATGAGGCGGGTTGTTGTAAGTAAAGATCGTTCGCGTCATTTTCGCCAAATTCCAGGAAAAAGTTTGCTATATCGTGATGGTAACGACATTTCTTATTTCATTTCGAAAAAATAAGTTCAAGTATATTAGGCGGCACTCAGTTCGTATGATAGACGAGACTTCTCTCTCCCATTAAGTAATACTTAATCCGGTGGTTCCGTGGAAGTAGGTTAGTTTAGCATATTAAAGTTCCGTAATCCGATGTTTGCTCTTACTATAAAAAAGGCCTGATGATGTCGCCATACCACAATCCGCATAAGAGAGTCAAATTTTGATTGACGGGTTTTGTTGGTTGGCGAAACCAATACGCCGGAAATAAGCCTCATCTGAGATGAGATTTTTCATTTTAGAGTAGCCAGCGAAGAACGTGAATTTCTGTAGTAATTTTGGACAATTTCCAATTTAGAGTTAGCTGTAGATCTAGCCTAGATAAAAACACTCTCGCCTTAATTAGCTTTTGAATTTTGGATATTAGATAATAATTGCCGTCAGGATCTTTTACACCAAGTGTTCGAATGGCAGCTTAAGGAATTATTCTTTAAATACCCCATTGACTTCTTAAGTTCAAGATTTTGGTAAGATTTTTGGGTCTGAAAATTTTATTTAGTACAGAAATATCTTAATTTCTTCCTTCTTACAACCTAAGATGCGCTATTGAGCGGTAGATGAGTTAGGTTATATTGGCCAGTTACAACGCCGTACTGGTCTGTAGTAATGTTATATGTAAGGTCAGTTTAATTTGAGGTGAAAAATTCGTTACATATGACGTCAATGTTTTTTATGAACTTTAGGAACAACTTGATGTCTTCGTTTGATACTTCGTAAAGTTCTTTGAACTCCGAAGCTTCTAGATACTTGAGTCGAGTTGGCATTTATGCCAATCCAGCAAGCATGTAATGCTAGTAGGTTGTGACCCGTCAGTCCTTTCGAGATCGTGTGAGTAAGAAGCAAAAAAGTACTCCTAAGGTCGCTTGACCATAATCTTGGCTATTTTGTCTGATTTAAGGCATACCATCTCGTCCTGATTAGCCCTGGTAACAAAGATAAATCTACGTGTGAAATAGAAGTAATTAGAAGATGCTTATTCACAGTTATGTTCAGATTTCTTCACCGCATATCTTTATTTGCGGTATGTATTCGTCCTCTACTAAAACGGTCTAATTCCATGTCGGTCGGGTAATTCCCAAATAATTTCGTAATAAGTAAAAATCGGTTAAGTGACTGATTATGGGTATAATTACCATTCGGTGTGCCATATACACTATTCTTGTCTAGGATAGAGGCAAGATTCTTCTTATTTATTGGCGTAGACACCTCTTACGCGGTTATAGCCGAGTTTAAAACAGTGCGCCAGTCGTTTCTATTTTTTGCAATTTGGCGCCAATTCGAAGTAGAAAGTGATGCCAAGTCCTTTTCCAACTGATCTCTCCAACGAAGTGGAGGTCTTTCTCTTCCTCTGCTTCCCCCGGCGAGTACTATGTCAAATACTCTCAGAGCTCAGTGTTTTCATCCATTCATTGACTAACCCAGCGTAGCGACAGCCTCTTGATTCGCAGTACCATGTCAATGGCGTCATATATCTCGTACAGCACATCGTTCCATAGACTGCGGTATTCGTAGTTCCCAATGAGCAAAGGACCATAAATCCTTCGCAGAACCGTAAATAAATTTTAAAAATTTGTCCAAGGCTCTCGGCAGCTTGTATGTTTTAGAGCCGATCAGAAAAAAAACTGTAAAGTAAGCATCTCCAGGCTTCTCACAGTTTTAAATGTAGAAGTTAGAAAGAAAGTGAAGTCATTTTGATACCAATAAAACTGAATAACGCATTAAAACTTAGTGTTATCGCTGGAATTTCCATTAACATTCTCGAAATGAAATCGCGCACAAAATTAAAATTTCCCTTCACTAATCGACGGCAGTGATGTGTAAATTTAAAACGGTCTACGCACAAGAAATTCCAAGTTTTATACATATACTGAAATGTTTGCATTTGTTTACGCAGCTTTTTAAATTCAATTTAAAGCACGTTGATCGTCGCATTCGTTGCGCCACAACAGACAGAGTCAAGCACACTTACGCACTTATACACTTGTAGATAAGCATCGTTGTGTTGGCAGAAGGAAGAGAGGGCGGAAGGAAGACAGCACCAGCCGCTTAAACACACGTCAGCGACCAGCGGATAGACTGATAAGGCTTTTTGGATTAAAAAAAGCGCTCAACGCAACAAAGTGTAGCAACAAACTGCAATTTGGACGAAACTACCACCAACGCATTCCCACAGCAAAAACAGTATATTTCGAATAAGCGCTGCTCATAACCAGCTCTGCTCAGATGTTACCTTTGTATGCATGTATTAATGTGTATGTGTCAGTACGTCGTGCACGTTAAATAAACGGAATTCCAGTGACATGTAAACGAACGTAATATCCTGTGACTAAACGGTTTATGGCTGGCCGTGTATTGAATTTCAGCCGCACGCACGCACACCACAGCATCGCACGTCAAATGGCAGGAAAGGGGGTGATTTTGACTTCTTGGCCATGCTTTATGTTTGTATGTATGCCTCAACCAGATCTATTGTAGATTCCTCATACATACATACGCACACCCGCACTCATCACACACACGTGTGCTTGTCGAATCACTCAGGCGGAGCAGTGAGCACTGCGTGTCGGGTGTGAGTCGCTGGGCAATTTATCACCTCAGTGGACGAGTGTGTCCGACACCGGCAGCTTCTGGTACACACAACTCTGCAGTTTTTTCTCAATCTTATTCCTATTCTTATATATTTTGTATTTTTCTTGCGTGTAAACAAAGTTACGCATTTTGCCAGACTTTGGTAGATTTGTCATTGTTTGCGCCATTTGTTAAGCCATAAATCGCAAATACTCTTGCTGCATATGTCATTTGCCAAATGTACTTTTGACTGAAGTATTTAACCACTGCTTGAGCATATCAACAACACCCGTTATTTGCTTGAGCTCTCATACTCAGTTTGTGTGCTTGAGAAAAGTTAAAGTTGTTACACTCAGGCTCATAAGTTGAAATTTTTCCACGGAAGTGTGTGTGTATGTGGATATTAAAAATTTTGTTCACTATTTCGCTGGTAATACCAATTTGTAGGATTTAATGTGAAGAATGTAGTATGATGAGTCTTATTTCAGTACTTATGGACTTCCTGATAAGGCTGTTAATGCTTCTGCAGCTGTATATACATACGTATAGAGAACAGAGAGATTTATACCTATACATTCGTATCCGTTGATGAGTTTCTCTTCGAAATGAATATTGGAAACAAACTTCACTGTTTGTAGTTTGTTCAGAGACTGTGACTTTTAACTTTTCTATTAAACGCAGAAGGGCTTACAATTTTTTAGGTAACTCACATCTGTGAGAAAACAGAATTAGACATATACAGAGACTGGGCCGAAAAGCTTTTGGCATGACCGGAAGATCCTATTAATAATAAAACATTTATTTCTTAACTAAAAGTATTATTAACCTTTAATAGTATATTGATAAAGCCTCATGGCATTTTATTGAATCTTTCTTAAGTTATTGGTTTCAATGTTATTTTTATTTACAATGAAACAAATAAGAGCGACTAAGCTCGGTTGCAGCCGAAAATTGTATATTCTTGTAACTTGCAAGGATCAAAGCACAAGAAATATCGTAAGGTGCGAGACGTAAACTAGATGATCGGTATCCAATCAATTATATGCATACATACATAATCCATACACAGTCCGACATATTCAGCATAATGTTTATTAGAACAAGTAAAGAAAGGCTAAGTTCGGGGGCAACTAAACATTTTATATTGGTCGATATTTGGGGTACAAAGTCACCCCTAAATTCGAAATCTTTTTATTAAGTCTATGGAGGTTAAAGGTAATATTAGTCCGATTCCATTTTTGGCATACAGACATACGATTATAGGAGAAGAATTATCCCCTAATTTCAGTTATATACATCACACATTGACCGACATTTTCGATCAAAAGTCAATTGTAATTACCGGAGTTTAAATATTCGGTACCTATGTATGTATTGGCTTGAACAGTTTTTATTGGATATCAACAACTTTTGGTCATTAGGTGGCACACACAAAAGACGTTATACGTGAAAAGTTGTATTCCGTTATATCAATTGCTTCTCGATTTGTGTACTGGAAACTGAATGAATCAAGTGGAATTTTAGGTTGTGCTTTATGGGAAGTAGGGGTGAATGTTGTCCGATTTCCTCCATTTCCACGCGTTACACGTTACATAACAATGTAAGAAAAATATCACGTACGAAATTTTGTCGAAATCGGTTGAGAGATATGTGATTCCTAAAAAAAAGTGGAGCCACGCCCATCGTCCAATTTTCACACCGGGTACCATAAAGCTCTCTCATTTAATGTCTCTGGCGTATTCAGTTACTGATTTATCGCACCTTTAGTAGTTCTCAACAGAACAGTTGTATGAGGAGTGAGCGGGGTTATTCTTAAATGGTTTAGGAGATATGTACATTAAACCTGTTAGAGGGCGCGGCCACGCCTCTTTTTTTAATTTTTGCCCACAATTTTGTTCTCGGTTAATCGCGTTTTGTGGGCGTAGCAGTGGCCCGATTATGCCTACCACGAACTCGTCCTCCGTTTTTTGCCACGGAATACGCCTACCAACTTTCACTAAGATATTGTAATTTTTACTCAAGTTACAGCTTGAACGGCCGGACGAACGGACGGTCAGACAGACAGACAGTCACCCGGATTTCAACGTCTCGTCATCCTGATCATTTWTCTTACTCCATTCGTTTTAGGTGATTAAAACTATTATACTCTGTCCCAATATGGCGCAAGAGTATAAAAACAGGCAGTCGAATTCCTGGGCTGTAGTCGTTATATTGACTGGTATAAAAAACCGATTGATACATGGCCTTTGTCCTGTCTTCGAAAATTAGTTTAAATGTAACTTAAATTCCAATGGCTGCTGTTTTGAAACCAATAAAACGCGTTTTAAAGATAAAAAAAATGGCAACTTTTCTATAGATTTTTGCATCCCAGATTTTGAAGAGGATGAAAACCGCTAAGTAACTGTTGAACTATAGTCTCTGACGCGCTATTGATGATTTTTAATTGATTCGTCTGTCGAATGACATGATCTCCTAGAATGGTACTTATTTACAATACTCATACCTCCAAATAGTTATCGAAGTGATATTTCATAAAATATCGTTCCTAATATACCAACAAGTGATTATATACCAGTTGGTGTGAGACTTGTGTTAGTCTCGGTATTTAGTCAGAATTTCTACTATTGCATACACTCAGAGAAAGTGATTACAAGTAATGCACAGATTACCAATATCTTGGCTATTTTCGAGAGGTAGACAGTTCGTTGAGAGTATTCAAGCAAATTTTGCTTCAGTTAATATATTTAATAATTATATATGTAATATAATTATAAAATTGGATAAAGTTGATTAATATTTTTAAAAACTTACCATATGCCGTTAGACGAGCCGTTTTATCGGACAATTTATACCCGTTTGGATTGATCGACATCTTCTCCTCTGAAATAAAAACGAAAACGAAAATTTGATTAAAAAATTATAACAAATTATATTTCAAATCATTTAATTCACTTGAAAGCAAAGTAAATAACAGCTGCACCGGTATTTATGTATGTACACTCTGTTWATTGTTTACAAAACGCACTAAATTAGAAAACAAACAATTTGCCAATTTTTTCGAAAATATCTGAATACTTAGCAGCGAGTACGAAAATATATCTATCTGCCAATTCTGTGGCGAACTTCTGGCGAAAATATTCGATTAGACAAGCATTTAGTATCTTTGATTGAGGAAGCAACTCAAATTAATTTAGAGAACTTTTAATCATGCTGTGCTTATATGTATATGTGTACATGTTGTTGGAAGAAATAGTTGCCTTTTATCGAGAGATTGATTTCTGATCTACAAAAATCTCTGAGTTTGTAACTTAAACGAATCGAATGTATAATTGTATTTGTTAGTAATTATTATTGATTTTTTGAGTAGAAGAGAGAGTTTGGGTAGAACGCAACATTTCTAAAAAGTTTTGCGCATTTATTGTCCAAATCAGCGCTTGGCTACTTTGGCAATGGGAAAAGGTGTGTATATATTGAAGCTTTTCTGAGTTCTTCTCTCAATGCCAAGGTAATGAAAATTTCTGTTCGCGGTTATTAAGTTCGTCAAAAAGCTTTAACAGGGCTCAGTTAGCAAATAAACTTTGGATTTCTTTAAAAGATATGCCTATCTCCGCCTTAGAGAGCAGATATAACGGTAAAACCGATTCTCATGATGGCTACTTAGGCATTAAGCATTTTCGTGATATCTATATATTATTCCGTGATATATATTTTTTTCTCGAAGTGCCCGATTTCTGTTTATATATTTATATTATGATTTTATCCTTTAGGCACCACATTATTTTCATGAGAGTGTTCGTTTGTGATTAAATAATCGTAATACACATTTTTTGTACATTTGTTTGAAATATTTTCAATCAATTTTAACTATTCAAGAACATGTATACAAGAAGATTCTTTAAAATTCATATTATTTTCGGAGACATAAGTATTTTGCTGGCCTGACACACATAAAATGGTTCTTCCGTGAACTAGAAATATTCCCAATCTTAATTTTTACTATTTTTAAAAAGTTCGAAACAGTCAAAAGATGGGGTCCAAAGTTATGTTCTGAAAAAGAAGTTCAACTTTTACGTTTCTCAATTGCGACATTATTCGAGATTAAAAATTTTTTGTTTTCAGATTGCTAGCAGGGTCGAGAGTATTCTCTTGTGTCAATGTTGCTAACTTTTGACATTTTTGACATTTTTTACTTTTTTAATTTTTTCTATATTTTTGTAATATTAACAAATTGGTAATAAAAAAATATTGGAGCCGTATAGAAATTCAAGCAAGTAAAGAAAATTCCTTGAGCGTTACTTGGGAGTGGCCAGTAACGATTATTTTACATATGGCTCAATAAGCTCACGGCTTTCGGTCTTAGACCAAGTATCGTCTGGGTAAGAATGCTTTTTCTCCACAACTGACGCTTTCAAAGTCGGTGCCCATATCTTTATATAATTCAGTAGTTAACGCTGCGGATAAATTTTTTCTTTTTATAATAACAAGTTTATCAACGTTTTTTCTTCAAAGGAAGGCCATTATTTATCGTTCACATTTTTATTTTTTGATCATCGAGTTATGTGGGACACCGCCAATATTAGAGACTCTCCGGAATAATTGCTGTCATATCCGTATTTTGTAATATTTCTCCATCAAAATTTAACCAAAAATTCTTCAAATGTGATTCTAATTGAAATTGTAATTAAATTCATCTATTGTATGTACATATATTGCTAAGTTGGTAGAACTGTCCTTAATTACTATGCCAAATATGAGTGCGACCTGTCGACCAATTTGTTTACAGCAGCTGTTAAAACGTTACACCTTAGTACTGCGTTGCGATTTTTACAATCGATTTTTTTTCAATTTTTGTATTCAAAACCGAATTTCATTTCTTTAATCGTTGCGAATGTTGGCCAAGGGTTACGTTGTTTCAGTTTTATCAAAACACCGAAGCCTACAAAGACGGTCAAGAGGTCGTTAAAATCATGCCTTATTCTAGCCGACCTTCGACCTCTTCGACTGATGAAGATATTAAAAAGTGAAAGGATATGAAAAATCATCAGACAAGTAATGTTCCACATCTCCCGCGAGTTCGTTCCAATGATTTTGGTGGATATTTTGGGTATGAAACGCGTTCTTGCCTGAGTCTGCCCAATAAAAATGATTTTTTATTTTTTCAAAAAGAGTGCCGTAAATAGGTCTCTTTGGATATGCTTGCTCGAGCGAATTCCGATCCCACATTCATAGAGAACATTATAACTGCCGATCATAAATTTGCTTTGGAGGGACAAACGGTCAACAAGGAGTTTTATTCTGCCCCATTGAGGCATATGCAGTAGAACATATGTATGGCCGGAATTGTGGAAGAACAATTCATGAATTTTACGCGGGGATAAAACACAATCGCATCGATCCACGATTGTGTCGGAATTTAATGTCAAAATGCAATGAATACCATCGATGGAAAACCGTATTCACCAGATTTGGCTCCGTGTGGTTTTTTCTTGTTCCCAAACTGAAATTGTCGCTTCATGAAACCCGCTTTTAGTCGATTGAAGAAATAAATCAAAATTCGTTGAAGGAGCTGAAGGCCAGCCTAAAAAGTGCTTATGAAAAGATTTTCGAGGACTGGAAAAATCTTTGGCATAAATGTATTACATCTGGTGGGGATTACTTTGAAGGCAACAAAATAAATATGGATTAATAACTAAATATTTTGCGCTTTATTTACATTCCGGGTACTTTTATGTCAGTATGTATGATGTATCTTTGGTACATATTAATTGTTTATTCATAATATTGGGTCTCTTCCCCTCTGAAAATGGGTACCATTTTTCTTCCAAAAAACAATTAAATAATAAGAATTTAAATTAGATCGAAAATAAGAAGGTTTTAAAAATTATATATTTGAATAGGATGACAAGTTTTTATTTACAAATATACATATTTCATACATTGTTATGATGGTTAATTTATTTTAAAAGTCTATGATTCGGTTTTTCCGTCATTTATAATATGTGTACTTGTATATACATATATATAATATGTTTGGTTTCGGGTTTGCAAACTGCGCTTTCAAATTGGTTAAGTTTTTGAATTATGTAAGATGATGCTAGGCACCAAACAATTTGTCTATGACATGAAGGGGAAATGCATTAATTTATTTATATACTATATATGTGTTGTTGTTATGTACGTGTATTAAAAGTAAATATAATTAAATGTCAAAATACGAAGCAGACTAATTATACGCAGTTATATATATCTATATTATTTAAAAAATCAATGCAAACGCCTTGAGTTGTGCTGTATTGAAGGATAAATGAAGGACAAGCACGAAATGCGAGGAGGAGACATGCAAAAACGGCTTTAGCGAAATGGAGTGAGATGGAGCGAGTGTCTTTGGAAAATAAAACTTTACGTATTGCAAATGGCAACTGTGGGGCGGCTGGAAGACAAAAGAGGAGTGAGTGGCGTAGATGTGTATGTATAGATATGTATGTGTGTATATGTGATTGTCTATGCGCAAATAAAGAAGGTGTGTGTAATGAAATGACGCCTCGCAACTGCGCATTGGTAGCTGCGTCAAGCCGCTGCTAGCGGAAACTACCGAATTTTCAAATTTTCAAGGTACGGCTTTGAAGGACAACAATGATTATGCAATCGTAAAAATTCAAAAGAAACATGTTCAAGCTAATTTTAGAAGAAATGAAAATTTATCATATTTTACAAATTTTTTTATTACACAAATTTTTGTAATATAATTTTTTTAACAATTTTTTTTGATATTTTTTTTTAAGTTTTATTAATTATTTGGTTATAAAATCTTTTATAGCACTTATTTTATTTTTTATATTTCATAAAAAAATTATATTTACAAAAAATGTATACTGCATTGTAGGACAACGAGGCGAGGAAAATGGTAATACAAAAAATTTGGAACAAAATTGTAAGCCAAGTTTAGAAGAAAGGAAAGTTTATTTCATCTTACAAGATAATTTTTTAATATACAAAATTTTTTTTGAGAAATTTTAATTTTCCATAATTGTGTTTTTTTAATTTCTATTATTATAATTATTTTTTTTTTTTTGATAATTTCTGTTTGTTATACAATTTTTTATATATTTTCTTTTAAATACCGAATTTCAAGGTACTGCATTGAAGGACAACGATGCTAGGGAATTGTTATGCAATCGAAAAAAGTCAAAAGAAAAATTGTAAGCTAATTTTAGAAGAAATGAAAATATATTTTATATTACACTTTTTTTTTATTACACAAGCAAAAAGTTTTTGATAGTTTTTTGAATTTTCATAATTTTTTTTTTGAATTTTCATTAATTTTTTTTGTTACAAATTTTTTTTATTTTTTTTTTATTTTGTATTTTTTCATAAAAGTCTTATATTTACAAAAAATGTATTATGGCTGTCTGAGTAGTTATGTGTTTTTTTTTTACTGTCTGTCTGTGTATGTAATTAGGTTTGTGTGCGCTTTGGTGCAGTCTGCTTACCAATAATCTTGCGGAGGTCTTCGATGTATTGCTTTAGGAGAATCACTTTGACTGTTTAAATTTGATATGGATGGTGATGAAACAAGTGATTAGTGCTGATGACTGTTGGGGTGGATGATGTTTACGGCACGTTAGCTAATTACACTGATGCTACAACGCAGCCTTGGAATGTGTGAAGGTGTATGGCGGCCAACTACAGTGGAACACTTTTCAATATTTTTTTTTCTTTTTTACTTTTTGGTTAATTTTTCTAAGCTTTTACTACTACTAAGCGCTGTGAGTGTTTTCTACATTTGTTTTACTTTTCTTACAAAGTTCTTGCAATGGATAATGCAGCAACTAAGCGTTTACAAACACGACTAACTCGCTTCCGCAAAAAAATGACTGCGACCGAATATTCTGGGTTCTGTAAATTTTTTCCACACTCTTGAAGATTTTCAATTTAGAATTTAGCTGAGCGTTGAAACCACACGTTTAGCCAGCCAGGACGGACAGCACGCGAATGCAGCTTTACTGTTTGGCGATCTGCGGCGCTATGTGCCACAGCAGCCATGCGAGTCGGCTAAGAAGTACAAATTTTCCAAAATGGCTGCGAGGACACTTCGTGGCGACAATCGGAATCCGACAAACGAATGCAATGAAATTATCGATTCTGGTTTTTCTTCATAGCCAAAGCACCAAACCAACCACAGGCAAAGGCTCGGCGACAGCAGCAGTCCTTCGTAACACACACACACACACACATATATATATATGTATATCCCCCTCTCTCATACTCCATTTTCCATTGGGGAGCATTTTAGTTTTTTGCAATGACGTCATAGTTTCCATTTTGCTAGCGTAGGCGGAGCTAAAATGTGGCAGAAAATGGTCGTGTGGCGCTGGTGCTCAAGCTGAAACTTTTTGTGACCCCAAAAAATACGCCTTTTTGTTGTCACAGCACAACGCGCGTTGCGGCTAATGGCTGACATTGCATAACTAGTGGCTTTTCTCGTCCGAAAGGATTTTAAAGTAAAAATTGAAGAATTTCTGTTTTTTGAAGAAAACTTTATTAATCTGGCAGCCACGCAGCCAGCCATGGGAGCGCTTATAATGCCATTGCAATGAAATATTTTCTGTATGCACTGAGTCGTGCGAAATAAATTAGTGCAAGGATTGTTATTGTCAGGTCATCGTTGACCTCAATCAGAACTTAATTTGGACAGTAACGAAAGAATATGTTATGATAAGAAGAAAAAAAAGCTATTTGTGTGTTCTTTTCTGTTGCCTCCACTAGGAAGCTTGTGCAATTTGTGTGCAAAAAGTTTTTATTTGTATTTTTCTTTATCGATGATTCAAATGTCGCAGAGAAACAGTAGATTTGAGATAACCTCTTTTTCGGACACTTCTGACAACAGCAAAAGTTTTTAGTTTAGTTTCTTAGATGCAGTTAAGTGGAAGTAATTAAATGGGTTTGATGTGCTCTTTTTTATAAAAAAAAAAATGCGAAACAATATACTTTTCTAACTCGTGCCTAAATTAAATAACTTTGATTTTTAATATGCGGTCAAATACACATAATATTCGGGCAGCAGTTCCAATAAACTCAAGATTATTTGATAAAGAAAATTTTCTTACTTTAAATTCTCGTTTTCTTTATATACGAGTACTAGGGCCTGGGTAGAAAACGCCTGACTACATGCGGTCGACTTCAAGTAATAGCTCATTGCACTACCAAGAGTTCCGTGAGTAAGACCCAAGGGATTTGAGGAAGACTTCAGGTAATTCCTAAGATTTTTCTACCGCAGCTGCCTAATTTCTTACAGATTGTGACATTGAGAGCCGTAGAAGACATTACGTCTGAACTCGGTTTGTGCTTTTTTCTTGAGATTTTTATGTTAAAGATAGATATATGTTTCCCGTACTACAATTTGTACTACAAGGTCAGGAAATCATATAGCAGCATATACATACATATGGTATTCTGAAAGTTTGCAAAAAAATCAAAATCAACTAAAAAATAATAGAAATATTTAGGAGTGAAATGAAAACAAGTTACTTATATTATTACCTGAGGTGAAAACGGAACTGTTTTACACTATGTCTATGGGCGTTAATACAGGTTAAACAGGTAGGCTAATATGCCACGCATAGACCAGTTTGGTCTTTTGCGATACCTAATGGGGTTCACTTGTTGAGTCCAAGACGAAAAGTTGCCGTTTAGGATGCCTGCGCTTGCTGAGAATTTTAACAGACTCTTCGGCTTCACTGTTGATACCTCCTCCAGTGTATCACACTGTGGGGAAAACAGATGCCTACAGCATGGTCGTGCTAATGCGTAACAAGTGTACAAGAGATATCGGTGTTTGCCCAACCGCCATTACCCACCAAGCTATGCCCGAAGATTTTATATCTAAATTCTCCAGCAACCAGTAGCTGCTCGGAGTTGTTCTTAAAGCTCCAGTGGTGCACAGCGCAGCGAGCTCTAAACCCTTTCCATTGGAATGTCCATAGTAGTACTGTACCGTAGAACAGAATTGGTTTTGCTATAGCTGTGTAGCATCAGTGCGTGAGAGAGGGAGAGAGCACCCAAGTTATTCCGAGCATCTGCCTAGACACATATAAAGCTTTCCTCACTCTTCCTTCCACATTGTGCTTCCACAACAGTTTGCTGTCCGAGATTTCCCCAAGGACAAAAGTTTGAAGCGTTGGGTGTGTTCACTGCAATCCATCGTAGTACATTACACAAGGCCGCATAATTTGCATGGTTTCTTGAACGCTATTGTAGTACAGAACACTGTACTTGTAACAAAAACTTAAAATACGGTTAACGCACATATGATTTCTGTAACATAATACAATATGTAACATATGTCTGTCTCTGGGACTAAATCTTATTCTTCTTTGTTTTAAGTATTCATTCGAAAAGATTGCAAATAATCTGAACTTGGTTGTGGCCGCGAAGATTTTTTCAAATTTTAGTCAGAATATTACGTTTTCATAATCCGCACAGAGTATTCTAAGTTTGCCATGAAGTTTGTGACACCTACAAGAAACCGCGAGAATAAGTATATATTTATATACTATATATATATATATATATATATATATATAAACGATGAGATAGTTGAGCTGAGTCGATTTATCCATGTCTGTCGCTATATATTTGAAGTTGTCGCTCATTTTTTGAGATATCGAGTTGAGATGTCTTTTTCAATCAAAACCGTTTAATATCGGACCATTATCGGACATGGCAGCCATAGATTATTGGCAAAGGCAACACTACGATCTCCGATGGTTTAGAGTGCAAATATTTGTCATACAAATAAACAGCTAAAAATCATGTTCAAGGTGCAGCTGTAAAATAATTTGGATTATGTCTACACGACATGAACTGTTTTTTCCTGTTTTTAGTTTAAAACACTTTGATTCAATAATTGAATATTGTAAAGAAATTTTTATATAAGCTGTCCATAAAATTCAAAAGTAATTCTTCGAGGTGTTTAGAAGCTTAGAATGTTAGATCAGCTCCTTATTCATAACAAATAATTAACAAAATACATGGTATGTCTAACTCACATTGGATAATAATATAAAATTCAGTTGATGATTGACTGAAAATAAATTTAATAAATTAGACCATAACCTCAAAATATAGAAAATGCTTAATTATTCAAGGATTGATTTTATTTCAGAATAATATTGCGAGTGCCTATTCAAGCTTGTCTATAGTATTAATTCACTCAGAAATGAAATTCGTTGTCTTTTTGCCACCATCGGTATGGTCCAAAATTAAGTGGTAATTTATATGTTGCAATAATATTAAGAATTTAATGATCTGTATTACCCAAGAGTGCAGAAAAGTAATCATTTCAAAGAAATGTTCGCCAAAGTTCAAAAGGATTCGTGCGGTACTATTCTCATTCTACTTACTTCAGCAATTGACGAGCATCATACTTATATATGGATATATATAAATGTATAAAATGTTACGATTGAGAACTGATAGTGATGGGATTAACTTATAGGTTTTTTGAATGTAATTTATAAAAATATTCGTGTAACACTTTTCATAGTTAATGGCCTGATCTTAGATGCCGTATATAGTATATATAGTATCCGTAAGTCAAAGAAAGCGAATGGGCCAATTCTAGGGTAACCTGAAATGATTTCTTTTTTTAAATTGATTAGTCCTTTGGATTGTAATAGTGGAAGTAGTATTTATTTTATTTTATTAAAAAATCAGCACTCAAATGTTACTATTGTATTTTAAGCTCCGCTTGTTTGGTACAAAGCCATACTCATATTTAGAGTCACGTGACATACAGGATTTAGTACAGCTCTTATACTATATTTTTTATAATAAACAAAATCAATATATTTTTTAATGCTTATACTAGATAACCATGGGTACACAAGCACCTCTCACTCATAATAGCGCTTCAATATCTCTCCGTATAATCAGTTTAGCAGTTTTACCATCTCTGACACACCATTTTATCTAAACGGAAGCGAAAGTATGTTGAAGTAAATGTGCATATATATAGAAATTAGAGTTTGCAATTTCGATTTATCTAAAACCGTCGAGAGCTTATCGACGCAACTAGCAAGTGTTTCTAATGGTCCGTGGCCTCTACACACGTGGTGGGCAGAAAGCCCACAATTATCACGTAGCAACCAATAATACCTAATATAAATTAAAAAACAAGAAAAAACGTTATCTTCTGCTGCACCGAAGCTAATATACCCTTCACAGGTGAATTTCTTTTAGTAACAATGTGTCCAGTTTGTATGGCAGCTATATGCTATAGTAATCCGATCTGAACAATTTTTGCGGAGATTACATTTTTATCTTAGAAAATAACCTGCGCCAACTTTTGTGAGGATACATTGACAAATGCGAAAGTTTTCTATACAGGCCCTTGATTCCGATTGTTCAGTTTGTATGGCAGCTATATGCTGAAGTTAACCGATTTGAACAATTTCTTCGGAGATTACATTGTTGTCTTAGAAAATAATCTATTCCAAATTTCGTGAAAGTTTTCCATATAAGAACTTGATTCCGATCTCTCGGTTTGTATGGCAGCTATATGCTATAGTAATCCGATCTGAGCAATTTCTTCGGATATTACATTTTTATCTTAGAAAATAACCTGCGCCAACTTTTGTGAGGATACATTGACAAATGCGAAAGTTTTCCATACAATCCCTTGATTCCGATTGGAGTTTGTATGGCTGCTATATGCTATAGTTAACCGATCTAAACAATTTCGTCGGAGATTACATTGTTGCTTTACAAAATAGTCTGTACCAAATTTCGTGAATATATCTTGTCAAATGTGAAAGTTTTCCATACAAGAACTAGATTCCGATCGTTCAGTTTGTATGGCAGCTATATGTTATAGTGGTCCGATATAGGCAGTTCCGACAAATGAGCAGCTTCTTGAAGAGAAAATAACGTTTGCAAAATTTCAAAACGATAACTTCAAAACTTCGTATATATACAGACGGACAGCGGGACAGACAGATAGACGGACATGGCTAAATCGACTCAGCTCAACATACTGATTATTTATATATTATATATGCTTTATAGGGTCCCCGACGGGTTCTTCTGGGTGTTACACATGTTATCAGGGTATAACAAATGTTATCACTGATATAATATTTAATGCCGCTACCAAATGTTATTAACTGGATTTTATGTTCATCCTAATTAATGCATATAAATATGTTTGATTTAGGGTTATAGCCTTTTAGACTTTAATGAAAATTTTGACAAGTTCTATGAGAATTGAATGATAAGCCATTCTAGAGCTCAATCCGAACGTATAGTATATCGCCTTTTAAGTATGAAATTATTTCCTCTCACTGCTTTATATAATATAACCATCTATTATCAGTATTCAAATATATTTTTTGTCTTATATGCTTAAAATGTTTTTAAGAAAGTCGGCAGTTTCAATTATGTATCTCATGATCTCTGATATAATCTGTTATCTGTTATGTTAATATGTATGTAATTGGTATAAATTTCTAACCTCCGATATGAGTTGAAGCGTCTGGCAATTTCTAGACTAATAAAACACCCGGCCCGGACAGGATCCCATCAAAAATCCTGAAAATAATCGCTGCAGAGCGAAAGCTAGTAAATGGAAAACGCTTGCCTTGAGGCCAGAATATTCCTTGAATCCTGGAAAAAACAACGGCTAGTGCTAATTAGTAAGGAAACAGAAGATGCCAACTTGCCGTGAGCATACCTTCGTCTGTGCATGGTTGACACAGCGGGAAAGCTCTATGAAAGGCTACTGACACCCAGACTCGAAGCGACTATTAACGAAGCTGCAGGACTCGCCCCTACACAACATTGCTTTAAACCCGGCAAATCAACTCTAGGAGTTATAAAAAGCGTTATTGAAAGTGTAGAAGCTGCACAGCATGGATGCTATAAATACAAATAATAGTGTTGCTGGCGACTTTAGGTGTCCAATGACTAGTAGCCAGCATGGGGAGCCGCAGCCACGAAAAGAGAAATATGGGCAGCTGTGATTAAAAAGAAATCGGCGTAAACTAGTGGCCAAAGTGGAGCGCACCCCAACCATTACAGTTGCACCGGCCTAGCGAACAGTGTCAGGTGATTCAATGTTGTTCAGTAACAACAAGGTCGTGGAAGAGCTGGTTGGTCCAATAAACGCGTTCAATCTCATCAACGTCATGCTGGAGAGTACAGCAAATCTAGAAATTCGCCTGGGCGCAGATGTAAACCTCTCAATGGGCAGCTGATTAGGGTAGGCGTGCATGAAATGGAAATGGCAAATCATGGGTCGACTTCTAGCTTACCAAAGAAGCAAGCGTTATATCATGGATTATTACATTAATCCAGTAACCTATTACTTAAACGAACAGTTTGTACAAGATATGCTCGAGGTATAGGAATGTATTTAAAAACCACCACTCAAGGCGCTTCAATATTTAATACTACTTATGTTTCAGAACTCTTTAAAATCACTAGGTCATATACCAACAACCTGACATATCTTGGATGCACTGCGTGTGATGAAAAATAAAGCCGTTAGGACTGTGCAGAAGATCGACGCGCTTGTTAAATTGCTGCGCCATGCAAACAGCAGCTTCGTATCCAACATGGCACAGCAAGATGAGAAAAAATTACGAAAATTATGAAGCCACGTTTATCGAAAAGCAATAAAGTGCCAATGGCTGAGAGCACACGTTTCGCGGATAATCGAAATATATAATTAGATCGGACGATATGTCAATTACTTTGGGTGACGCAAATATGTAAATAACATATAATCGCAGTTAATGTGAATTTTGGGTAATTGATGATCTGTTAATAAATTGGAATGTATTCCGAAAACATTTATTAATTTTCTGTTGGTAAACTTTCGTACTGATAAGTAATTTCCACCATGCGGCGGCGGTGATAAGATGCTTAAATATCCGCATCGAGCCAATAAACAAATCAGTCGAAAGAGCAAATTTTCGGAAAGCATTTCGTACGCGCTGAATACGAGTATCAAATACACAAAATAAAGGTAGTAAAAGTATATTTTTTGTATTGTATATAACTTTAATAATATACGCCAGCGATTGCGTGGATATAGTGGATTTGTTGAAATTCAAATGCAAATAAAGTTTAGGTATAAATATACTTAACTAAGCGGTGCATATTGTGGAAAAGTAATTTTTAAAATGAATAAGTAAGGAAGGCCTGAGTTCTGGTGCAACCGAAGATTTTATGTTCTTGCATTTTGTGAGAATCAAATGCCGGGAAATTCCTTAAGGTGGTGGCACAACTTTATACTTAAATATATAGCGAAAGAACTAAACTTAGTTTTATTGCTCGCCTATTTTTTAGTTGACATTAGCTGAAATTACAAATAGAAACATCTTGAAATGACATATGTTTTCGCCGAAAAAAACACGTTTTGTAATTTTCATTGAGATAACTCAAAAATATTGGCCGATATATCGAGTATAAAATCATTCGAAAGTTTGAAAATTTTTATAGTAGATATCAGGGACGAACATAGTAGTCAGGGACGAATTGCCCCGATTCAACACATTTTTGGCATACAGTCATACTGAAGTACAGGCGTTCAAATATTCAGTACCTAGGGGCTTGAACAAGTTTAAGTTTGATCCCGTTACACAAATTCTTTCTTGACTTATGTACTGGAAAGAGAAAGAATCAAGTGTAGTTTAAAATTGTGCTATGGGAAGTAGGCGTGGTCGTTGTCCGATTGCGTCCATTTTGACACTGCAGCATGCAAATGTCACGTACTTGGTTGATATCGGTTCGAGCTGGTTCGAGATATGTTCACCTAAAAGTAGGCGGCGTCGCTTCATCGTCTATTTTTTCCCTCGGCTCCTATTAAGTCTTTTCATACTATGTCTAATGTACGTTTGTATAAGGTTTTCATGCTAAAAAATGACTGTTTTGCGAATTTATTTTTTAAATATGGATTAAGTAATTTTATTTGAAACTTTTGTACATTTGACAATTTTTTTCCTTAAAAATAATCGAGATTAATTCAGAGTTAGATACATTTATACAAAGTGAAAGTAAATTCCAGGATACTGTCTGTCCATCTGTGCGTGCGAGCTCTAACTTGAGTAAATATTAAGATATCTGGACGGAGCTTAGTACATGTGGTAATTTGTGCTTTATATAGCATTTTTGAACCAAGTAGCATCTCTAAAAGGACCAAGAAGAAAAATAACTCATCGTATCCCACTAAACAGAAAAGTTTATTTCTTAAACCGTCAACATCTCAATCAAATTTGGAATGGTACTGCTATGAGTGTCTTGAAGTCTGAATCGAAGGAGCCCCACTTGTATGGCTTTGTATTTATGTGTGGGCAAGAGAGCTCTACATCTTTCCTGAGTTCGTTTTGGTGGTATTTTGAATATGAAACGCGTTCTCGACTCGTCCTAATAAAGATTACGTCGATTTATTCATGTCCGCCAATCTAGTTGTAACATACGCAAAGTTTTTATGGAACTGAAATTTTGCACACGTTGTTTTCTTCCGAAGAGGGTGCTCATTTGTCGGAACCGTCGATATTGAGCCAATACAAATACAAACCGATCGTTCAAAATTAAGCCCTTGTATGGAAAATGTTTTTATTTGACGAGATATCTTCACGATATTTAGTAAAAAGTATTGCCCAACCAGATATCGGACTACTATAACATATAACTGTTATTCCAACTGACCGTTCAAAATGAAATTTAATATCTTTTTTCTATATTCAGTAGGCTTAATTCGACGTCAAGGTTGCTTTTTCTAACTCTGAAAACAAACATTTTGCGCAATTGTATATATCTGAATGTATGTATGTATACTCGTATGTTTACAGTTATTTAAGTATTATATTATTCAGTTTGTTTGATTACCTTGATCTGTACTTAGATAGCGCAGATAGGCTTTGTATCCTAGATAAGCGAAAATATTTGCAACTCTGCGTTTCTACGCGTATCGACAACAACAACAAAAACAGCTACAAGTATGTAAGTAGTGTGTACGCTGTCTCTTATACACATCTAGATGTGTATAAGAGACAGGTACTTAGATAGCGCAGATAGGCTTTGTATCCTAGATAAGCGAAAATATTTGCAACTCTGCGTTTCTACGCGTATCGACAACAACAACAAAAACAGCTACAAGTATGTAAGTAGTGTGTACGTGTATGTATAGCAATCGATAGCGGTATCAGTGATTTCAGTTAGTGATTGATGTACACTTTACGGTAATTAACACTGGATTTTCACGCACGAAAACAACAACAGTTTTGGTTACAACAAAAACAGCCACAATGTATACATTTAGCAACAACAACAATTAWTATATATTGTTATCAGCTATTAACAACAACAATGCAATATTTATCACAATCAATACAATAATAACAACAACAGCACTAAGTCCATGCATATGCACTTACATATGCTTACTAAGTATACAGCAACAATGATTACACAACAAATTAGACGAAAAGCTTGCAAGCGACTGTCGTCTCGTGAGTCCTATTGCTGCTGCTGGTCTTGCTGCCGTTGTAGCTCTTGGCTTAACGGATGTGGCAAATATGTCGCCAGCAACGCATCGCTCCTGGACTTATGTACCTACGGCCGGGCTGTTGGTGGTTTCGCCAACGCCAGTTTGCAACGCTGCTGCTGCTGCTGCTGCTGCTGCTGCTGCGGCGCCCACTTGCCATGCTCGCCACAGCAGTTGGCGTTTTTGTGCAGCAAAGTCATATACGAAATTTCGGCAAAATTGGGGGAGGGATTCTGCTTTTACTATATATGAGTGTGGTATTAAGTACACTGTTTAAGGTTTTTGTGTAGTCAATGTAGTGTTAGTGATAAGGCCAAACACTTTCGCTATTATATACAATTGTGTTGAGCCTGGAGTGGCTAATTCGAACAGAGAAAGCAGGAAAGCACAGTGATCAAGGCTTTATTAAAAGCTTTCATAATAAGAAATTGCATTCATCCTACATGCCGTTTAATTAATATAATAAGTCAAGTCTGTATCTAAATCTGACGTGTCGGCAATGCCATGATAGCTAGAAATCCTATTCCATTTCCACATCTATTCCCACTACTTCACTTACTTAGATGAAGATATGATAGCCAAGGTGTTTTTGTCTTAATCTCATTAGGCTAGAACAGTCATTATTTGAAAAATTGCCAATGGTCTTCGACTAGTGAATAACAAACATTGTTGAGGCAGAGCTCGCTATATCAATTTGATTCCGAACAGAAAGATCTTATAACTTCCAAAGTAATAGTAGTCGATTTGACGAAGTGCAAAAGGACTTGATTGTAAACCTTATAGTGGTTCCGGAACCATTCATTGGAAATTTGGGCAAAAACTCTGGAAGCATCGTTGCAGTGTACGACAATGCATTACTGTGGGGCAAAAGCGAAGAGCTGTCGGCTTATTTTTACGAACAGCTTCGCGCAAACCACGCATAACACTCAAATAGCATTCCTTGTTGACAGTTTAGCTGGTCGGAGAGAATTCGGAGTGCAGCACACCACAATAATCGAAGAAAGCTGTCGACATAACCTCGATTTTTTACGTGCTTTGACGTGATTTTTTTCGGCTTCGGCTCAACTTTGCCAATATATTCGGCCGATTAATAGTCTGTTTCAGGTCGTAACCATAGATTCAAGACTCATCGCCAGTAATAAAACATTTCATGACAACCTGGTAGTCGGAAAGCATTTTTTCATAGATGATGACGCGACGCAGGTTTGCGAAAAAATTGAATTAGAACCAATCGTGGTTTCACTTTTCCTAAGCCCAAATGATCTTTCAAAATGGTTATCCTTGATTCTTCCGATATTCAAACGATGCCAATAAGATCTCTGACTGTTAATCGTGGATTCTCATATACCAATTTTCTTTGTTTTATTGACGTGTTGATCATCAGTTGATGTTGCTGGCCGTGCTGTACTTGGTTCGTCGTCGCCACGTTCACGACTCTCTTTCAATAATTTGTACCAATCAAAAACACTTGCTCGCGACAAAGAATTATCAGCAACATTCGGAATGTTTTGGCATCAGAAATTTGATTCCGCACGCAAAATTTAATGGAACTCCTTTTTTGAATAATTTCACTCCTCGTACAAATCGCCGATTGCACTGTATGTACTTCAGAAAGATGAGCTTATACTAAACATTAATATTTAGTTTGACCAAAACTTTTGGGTTCAGTGAAACAGGCATTTTAATAAGCAATTGTTATTAATAATAGTTTATTAAACCCCAAATATGAAGAAAATATATAGTACTTTATATAGTACTGTATATTTTCTCAATAAAAAAGAAATACCGATAACATACATAGATTCTGTAAATACTGGTCATCAATAAACCTGTCAGTCCTAGAAATAGCTTGGCGCCATTTGTTACATATTTGGACATTCCGTTATTTTACAAATATACTACTAATATTTTGAGATTAATTCACTGTGCCGCATGTGGATATAAACTGCAGCTGCTGCACTTATATTTATATGTATCAGTGAATTTATATATTTTGCTTAGTATATATATTTGTATATATGTATATGTATATAAACACACGAGATATTTGAGCCTTACGAGTATTCCCTGTATGTACCACAGTGTTTTAGGACCTTGTGTATGGATTTTCCGTGCTGACGTTGGCACATTGTGCTATATTTAGCGCTTGTCCTTAAGCAGTCGCTGGAATGAGATATCCTACCAATCTTTCTTACTTCCACGTGCATCTATATTCTCTGTTAAATATACATACGTATAAATTCGGGTACATATTAGGACTAAAAGGCCTCTTGGCGCAAGTTTTAAAATTGAAATTTAATTATGTTGCCGCCTGCATTGTGTTGTTTATACCACTACGAGCGTAGAAATTGCGTAAGGATCTGGTAATTATGTTTTTTTGTTCGGAATTGATTTAACCACTTATGATTATTTTGGCAGACTATTTTTGTTAGGAAATTAAATTAATGAAATTGGCCGAATAATTATCAATTCTACTAAATTATGCAATAAATAAGATGCGTTTGAAATAAATGTTGATTTACTTTCGTGCTATACTCCGAGGAGAATTGTGGCGTAGGAAACAACCGACTTGACGGTCTAAGCTCACTTAGTCCAATCATTTAAGCTTAAATTAGGTAAGAATTTCGAAATTCGAGATAACCTGCTGTAAGTCTGTAAATATTGTATATTGACATCCTAAAAGTTGTCTCAAAACTTACATGTGCTAGATACACCCTACTACACAGCTGGGTATCTCGAATTTCGAGGTGAACTTATTATAATGACTAGATGAAGTTACGGTCGTAGATCAAGTGCTATCAATCGCATTGTATCATACCATATAGCATTGGAAAGGTGGGATTTTAATTAATTTAACCAAAAACAAATTGAATTGGCGGAAATTGATAAAAGTTCATGACAGTTCGTGGAGCACAACAATGATTCGGTCGCTTCCGTTCTGGAAATTTCGAAATTTCGATTTACACTGGTGGCTTAATGTCTCTGGCGGAAAAATGGCAAAAAGAAATCTATGAAAATGGTAAATATTTCTTTATTTATTTATTTTTATAAATATAACAAGTAAGAAAAGGCTAAGTTCGAGTGTAACCGAACATTTTATACCCTTGTAACTTGCATTAACCAAAGCCAGGGAAATACCTTACGATGTAAAACGTCAACCAGAAGATCGTAATCTAAACAACATGTAGGCTGTAATATAATTTAAATATTGGTCGATATATCCAGCTTAAAGTCAACAGGAAGTTCTAAACTCTTTATCTGAAGTATATGTCGGCTCTGGGAAGTATTGACCCGTTTCCCCCCATTTTGGATATACAGAATTACTACTGCAGGAACAGAATTATATTTGAATTTCTATTGCATATCTTGCACATTGATCGATATTTTCGAAAAAAAAAAATCAATTATAGGTACTGGGCTCCACATATACGGTACCTAGGGTCTTGGACAATTTCGGTTGGATTTGAAAAATTTTCTGTGATAAGGTGGCACACAACAAAGACATTTCTTGTGCAAAGTTTAGTTTTACTGGAAACTAAACGAATTAAGTTTAATTTAAAATTGTGCTATATGGGATGTAGGCGTAGTTTTTGTTTGAACAGTACCGTTATATAAGAAGTGTGTATGGGTTTTCAGCCGCTTTCATCCATTTTCACACTATCGGTAGGAATTCCTTTAATATTTATGTTGGGCGAACAATTACGCCCATCTACGAATTCGAATAAAAAATAAATAAAAATAAGTTGAAGTTTGATTAGAAATGCGAAAAGACTTTTTCGACTACCAATGTAACGAAATGCCGGATGGCGAAACAAATATAACCAAAATATGACAAGGCACTAAGAAACTAAAGACTTATTACATTGGTCCAGGAGAAAAGTAAATAGACTTACAGCAAACAAAACGGGGCATTGACCATTTGGAGAAGATGGTCTAAAATTGGGAATGCACTATTAGAATACTAACAATACTCCTAACGATAGAAGTAAGAAAACGGGCTCTTCCACTGTGAGTGTCCTAATATACCACAAACAAGACATCGAACTCTTAGAATCCATCAGATACCAAATTTTGAATTTTTATCTACAAAACGCATAAAGGAATTAAGTAGTTTCATTGTGTGTGAGCTGTACTTCTACCTACCTATATATTACCTTCATAAATAAACTATAATATATTTCAGTTGTATTGTCGATAAGTTGTGGTTTTCAAAAACCAATAAATTTATCTTCGAAAACCTTATAGCTTTTCTAATGTACTGAAATTTTGTAATAATCATAACAGTAAGTACATCTGCATTTTTGCAAAACTTGATAAATAGCAAAAAATATAATATTTTTGGTAAGCTTAATGTGACAAGACTCAGGTGACCTATTAAAGATTTATTATGAATTAATAGAAATAATTCATTATTGCTTATAAAGGTATATATTTGAGTTTGTTGATTATGTATGTATGTACTTATACGTATGTACACATGCAAGCTATTCTGACTCTCCATAACAGTGGTGCATCAATTTGAATTTAGTTCCTTTAGTTTGAGGATAGCGTAAGATAGTAGTAACTGGTTAGACGATTTTGTGGGTAAATAATTTTTTGGTATTACCAGTGAATAAAGACACTTCTTGGCTTTGGGTGCACAGTTAGCGAACTCAAGCCAATATTGCCGCCTTGTTGTGGGAGTGAATACTCACCTACCTGAAATATTTTTCACTTCATAGTGGTACTTCGATCGCCATCTTAATATCTGTGATTTGAGCCTGGTGAACATTACAGTAGTCGTATATCTTCTCCAGCGACTCCTCCCCACCCACATAACAATGATAATTTGAAATTTATCTACTGATCTTAAGTAGCTTTCAATAACTCAAAGATAATGGACCCACAGTCGAAGGGTGAATCCATAACCGGATCAGCCAATAGAAATATTATTTGTAACTTTAAACGGTAAATGGTCTAAATGATGGTGCTGTCTCAGATTATTCTTTGCATATCAACGTTATATTCATATATTCACCGGTTGGACAAAATGTGTGTGCTAGCACTTACAGTAATGGACCTCCATCGCTTCAATTGATTACAAAGTGAGAGCAGAAGTTCGAGATGAAAGCTCAAAACTGAATTTACGACTAAACTGACGATCGTAGGCTTCAAGCCTGAAGAAGTAAAACATTTAATCATGTGATGGCATATGACTTTAACTACTTGAAGGTGGTCTCTTGCAACCGCAGTACTTACAAAAATACATTCGTTCAAAACTTTTAATTTCAAATCAAATTGGAATGAAAACTTTACAGATTTAAGAACTGTTTACGGTCAAGATTGGGTTAGGTTATATAAATACGACGATTTATGGTGAGTCCCACTTGGATAGCTACATACCACTATGAAGAGTGAAGAATAAATCCTTATCACCTTCCTCCAGCAAGTTTCTTTAGCCTTATCACGTTAGTGCCATTGGAACAGTGTTTTTCAGTTAGGACACCTATCCTTGTGGCTATGTGAACCTTCATTCTGGACTATTCGACAACCCAATATACTATTATATGGAAAAAGGAGTGATGGCATAATGACATGGATAACTCATCCCTTATTTCTGACTTAACCTTCTTTTGGTAAACTTCAAAAATAAAGTGTTGGATTAAGGCGATTTCAATGAAATGTGAGGAAAACTCGGAATTCGAAACAATAATAAATCAATATCAATAATATTCGATTTTGTGGAATTGCTTTGCATCTTAAATTTTAAATTGTCAAAATACTGAATATTTGGAAATATCGATCGTTTTTAATATCATTTAAATGCATATATGTTTTTATACATATATATATATTTATATATGTATTTTATACATATTATAAATTTTTCCTTATACATATATTGAAAAATTCCCGCTGCCTAAGGAAACAGCATTAAACGTCCACATACATAATGCCATTAGTCGACAACCCAAATGGCCGCCCGCTTACCCTTCAGTTACTACTACTTACGAGTAAAAAATAACACAAAATATACGATAAATCGTTGCCCACACAAAGTGTTGCAATGTTGCGCAACAGCAGCGCCGCACAATGGCGTCAATTGGTTGGCGCAGCACAAAAGCAACAAAAGCGGCAGCGCCATCATTTGTATGCAACATCGCTCAATAATTGCATTTGAACGCCAATTACGCACAAAAACACATAGCTAGTTTGCCGTACGCGTATATATGTATTATACTTACACATATACGTAAATATTCACCGTAATATGTACGTATGTATGTGTGCTGCCGCTTTCTGCTGCAGCGCGTTTATTATGAGTATATTTTGCTTGTATTGTTAGAAATACACACAAAATTACAAAAAATTATATATACACACATACCCATATGCATATATGTGTATACATACCCACATATACTCATATACATACATATACATATGTGAAACCACACTTGCAAGTACTGTAGCCTCCAGCTAATGTCGCTCATACCACCCGCCTTACCAAAGCTGTTGTTTACAGCACCTATCACACACACACACACACACAAACACATATGTACATACATTTATACGAGCATACGTAGCTGCTTTTGCACCTCACTTCCGCATCCGCTGACAGCCATATTGCTCCAGAAGGTGCCACTTTACCGCCAACAACTCGCACTTCACACTGCCGCATGGGTCTCAACGCCCACAATGCGGTGGCGCCACACATAGCGTTCCCTTTACCACCACATATCGGATGTTTGCATGTTAATTTATCAACGCTACTTTGCTCCACAGTTCGTTTGTATAAAGAAAAAATATGGCGCTAACTCTTTTCCGCACGCTGCTATTGGCTGTTGCCACAATGGGTTTGGCGCAGGCGCGTCATGTGCCTGGCAAAACGGTGGTAAATTACGTTGTGACGTCATCATTGCCCACAATAGGGGTTGCACGCAAAGCAGGCAGTTGCCAAAATGACAACAACTACAACAACAAAAGCTGCATCATTAACAACAACAATGCAAGTAGCATCCTTGACGCTGGCAAGCAGCACGCAAACGCTGAGTATCCAAGCCAAAGAGCATTGAGCCTCGAGGACAACGGCAACGGCGACGCTTTGACTGTCAACATCAGCACGCCGAAGAGTGTAGTTCAGAATTGGAGTTCGGTGTGTCAGCAGCTCTGCGGGTAAGTCAAGTGTTGCAAGCTGCAATAACTTTGAACAAAAGTGGAAAAATTATATTTTTGTTTTTCGTATAAAATTGAAGCAAAAGGAAGTTGTGTGTTGGTGTTGCTTAAGTGCATATATAAATGAGTGTATATATGTATTTATATATGTATATTTGTCTGTGTATATCAAAAAAAAAAAAAAAAAAAATACTCAGCTTAAACTTATGTCATAATTCAATTAGCCGACAGCAAAAGTTTTGCGGCAAGTGATAAGATCTTCATTAAGGTCAAAAGTGGATTAATGCAAAGCGTGTTGTAAAAGCAGCTTAAATGTGTTTTTGTCTTGAGGCATAAGCGCGTTTTTGCGTTTTATAATTTGTGTGCTTAAGCTTAAGTTTTAATGCGTTTTAATATATATTTAATAACAAGTCGAGATATAATATTTGTTAATGCCTTAGCCTTACTTTACTTTGAAAATTGCAGAGCTGGCTTAGGCGGCCCGCCATGTCTTGCCCACTGTGACAGCAGTGACAAGCCGTCGCTTCCATCATACTTTGCAGACAACAAATACGATATATGCAGGGACCTCTGCAAGCTACAGCTCGTTAAGTGCGAAAAATTAATAAAAACAAAAAAATCTCGAAATACTGCTGCACCGAACCTAGAATACCTTTAACAGTTACAAAAGACTCCTTACGAAAGCTTTGATCTATCAGTTTGTAGGGCAGCTTTATGCTATTGTGGCTAATTCCGAGAAATGAGCAACTTCGTGGGGAGAGAAGGATGTGTGCAAATTGATATGCGTAAAACTGAGAGACTAATTAAAGTTTATATAGATTGACAGACATGACTAACTCGACTATATACACATATTTAAGGGTCTCTGATGTCTGCTTGTGAGAGTTATAAAAGTTATTTTCAACAAGTTTAATATACCCTGTTTAGCGTTAAAATGTTATAGAAATAATATGTATACTAGCATAAACCTACAATTTTATTCCTAAACTCGGTAATATAACATCAAAAATTAAAAATTCATTTTATTTGGAGTTTCTATTTTGCTTTAGAGTATTGATCTTTCTGTTAGTCAAATAATTTTTGGTATTACTTTGAAATTTCGTATTTGCTGCAAACTTTATGGATCCCCGCAGATACTCGCAAACTTATAATTTTTTAGAAATTTGCAACTAACCTACCTTTGAACATATATTTTATAAATTTTGGTTAATTACCACAAATAATCATTATGATTTTAAGGGACATGTGTATAAAGAAATCATTATCTTAGAATATTTTTAAACGAATGATAGGAAAATCATTTTTTTTTTTTTGCAAGTATCGGTTTTGAAGTATCGGTTTGTAAGGCAAAAAAAAAAAACAAAGGTGCCAACGGGAATCATTCCATTTTCCATACAGTTTCCGTTTTCGTTCCTAAATCAGTTTGGTAGTTTTGGTTGTTAACAATAACCTTTTTTATCTCTAAAGCAAACCAATCTAAAACTTTAAAAGAATGACTTTTTAATACACAATTTTTCACTCTACAAAAAAGTCTACGCAGTTATGTCAAATGTACTGAGCATTCATATGTATATGTACATAGTACCATATCGAATGAAGTAAAACAGAATAACATGCACTGTGAAAAAAAATCACCCGGAAATTGTAATTAAGTTCCAGGGGTAAATGTTCGACTGCACCGAAACTAATATGCCCTTCACAGGTGCATTTCTGTTAGTAACTATATTTGTCTGAAAGCTTTATGCTATAGTAATCCGATCTGAACAATTTTTTCGGAGATTATATATATCACCTTAAGCAGTAACCCATGTCAAATTTCGTGAAGCCCTTGATTCCAATCGTTCGGTTTGTATGGCAGCTATATGCTATAGTAAGCCGATCTGATCAATTTCTTTCGATATTACATTATTTCTATGAACAATAACTCATACCAAATTTCGTGAAGATATATAATCAAATATAGAAGTTTTCCGTACAAGAACTTGATTCCCATCGTTCAGTTTATATGGCAGCTATATGTTATAGTAATCCGATATCGGTAGTTCCGACAAATAAGCAGCTTCTTGAAGAGAAAATGATGTTTGCAAAATTTCAGAACGATATCTTAAAAACTGTGGGACTAGTTCGTATATATACAGGCAGACGGACATGGCTAAATTGACTCAGCTCAACATACTTATCATTTACATATACTGTTACAAACTTCGTGACAAACTTATATATATACCCTGTTCATTCAAAATCGTCAGACAAGTGTTAGAGAGATGGCAAGAGAGCGAGTCCGAGTTCTTACTCGACTCGTCCCGATAAAGATGATTTTTTTTTTCAAAAAAATGCCGTAAACAGGTCTGTTGTGTTTCGAGGATTGGAAAAATGTTTGGCATAAGTGTACGACATTTGATGGGGGTTTATTTGATGGCGGCAATATAAATATTGATGAATAATTAAATATTTAGCGTTTTATATACAATTTCCGGATACTTGTCACAATATATAAATCCTTCTGAAAATAAAGAAATCCTTTACTTTGGCTCATTATTTAAAAAAAAAACCTGTATTCTAAAGTTTGTTAAAAAACAACACTGGGGAAATAACGGATATAAATAAATAAAATAATTATATTAACGAAGAGGATCCCTTTATGAGTTAAATTACTTTTTGTTGTAGCAACGGTCCCGTAAATAATTCTGAGAAATGCTGTCGAATTAGCTGTGTTTGGCCGCGGATATAAGTTTCCACGTATATGAGACTTCGCATCTGGATTTGTTTTTATAATTCTTCCGACTTCGATCAATTCTACGATTCTATACCTACAATTCATTTTAGTAAATATTTCAAATATAATGTAAATTTATCTACTTTTTCATAAAGGGATTAGCCAAACAATTTCTTATATTATTTTATGGTATAGATTGTCTGTGATAGTCATCCAATCTGTAGTTCCAAAAATTTAATGTCTGCTCTTAACTACGAATCTAGTTTATATTAATATATTTTAGATACAGATAGGAATATTTACTTAACTAAATAAATCACACTTTTATATTACCGGAAAATTTAAGAAAAAAGAAATTACTGGTTACGATATCCTTATTCAAATAGTTTTAAAGACTGCATTACGGAGGCATTACATCGATTTTAACATGATCCTATTTAAAATTTTTGAACTGTAGTTCCCTTAGAGTTAAAAGCGAGTTAACGGAAGGGAACCAGTTTTAGCCTTAGCGATTTCATTTTCTCTCTCATTTTGTTGAAGCCTGGGAAGAGATAAGACGATGAGTTTAAATGAAATTGCTCCTAGTTTCAGTGATTTGAGACATCATGGTGGATGAAAAATATTCGGAATATGTTCCATTGATCTTTATGTATATAGAGTGGCAGTTTTTCAATTTAACTTATGCTCATTCATAATCGTTTTGTAGATTTTTCACAAATTCGGCCGTAATCTGCGGTTGTTCTTTTTGTTGCCCCAGAAACATTCCTGAAGTAATCTCGACCAATCGTGCTGAGTTGATAATCCTTGGCCGCATAAAAATCCGTTACCGTTCCGGTTACTTTGACCCAACTGTCATGGGAACGGGATTCGTAACCTCTTTCTGTTGGTTTTCCTGGTATATTTGTTTTCTTAGGATTAAGTTAATCTGATGGTTGCATTAATGAAATCTAGTTTTCTTCAAAATAACATAAAAACACGCTTAATATTACTAAGCTTGCAGCCGATGTATCGAAGTAAGTAAGTGGTGTCTACATGCGATGTATTGCATCGTACTAGTTTGATTGTCCTTGTTCAATATAATGATATCATTCTGTTTAACATATATAACTACATACATCTTTTGTGAATACAAGCCTTATCCGTTAGGGACAGATTAATTAATCAGTTTTCAAAATGTAGAAGCCCCGTCGACTTTAAAAAAAACTTTCCTAATTTTTCTCAAAAAAATTTAAAAATCTTTAGTTTTATAATCAAAACCCGAAATTTTTGTCACTTTAACCATTAATCAAAAACTCTCTCTCTCTCTGTTTTCTCTCTTTCCCAAATCCCTACCGTATAGGTGATGTTAGTTGCGACTGTCAGCTCGAAGAAGTAACGTTGATTACCTTCTCCAACATGACATTCCAGTATGAATTACGTAACATAGTGTGTGGCAGCTTCTGTGAGCATGGCGGTACAACGCTGATCGGTTGTAGCAGTTGCCAGATGGAGGTCGATAAAAGCAAGATATATAGATCGTCAGATGAGAGCACGACACCAGACTGGAAGGAGCTGTGCGCCACTTTGTGCAAAACCGGCGATGGCGGGTCACTGTGCAATTGTGATTTGGCGCCGTTTTTTTAGAAGTCTAGCAGAGCAGCGAAACGCTATGCCAACCACACGGTCCACACACGTGCAAACAAATTGAAATTGAAATTGAAATGTGGACAGACACAGGTGACAGCTGATGACAGAAGTTGACAGTTGAAGGTGTCAGGTGTCGATGTTGTGCGAAATTTTTGGCTTGGTTTTTACTACTCTGCGCGGTCTCTAAAGTTTAAAATTAATTTTTTGACGACGACAAAAACACCAACAATTTATTGTTGTTGGCAGTTCATTATTGTTTATGACACACACTATACATACATATATTTTCGTACAGACGTTTAAAGTTTATACTTAATTATACAACACACATACATATGTAAGCACGATGTATTTATGTAAATGATTTGTGAAATTTTCAACTTCAAAACTAAAACTGATTTGTATGCTCCAAATAAGAAAGTTTTTCGCAAAACATTTGAGTTTTTATTACACCGTTATTTGTTTATGTTGTTGTTTTATAATGTTTTTGTTTTTTTTTGTTGATTTTGTTGTTTGTTTCTTGTTTCTGTTATAGCTGTTTATGCGCTCAAATTTGTCACATAGGATGGCGGCAAGGCATTGCAAGCGGAGAAGATCTACGAAGCGTGCAAAAAAATAAAGGAAATTAAAAAAAAAAAATCCAAAAAAAAATTTAAAAAATACTCAATCCCTATGCGAATCAATTAATTTGTAATTAATTTGAATTATAGTTAATAAAAAATGTACCGTTAAACTAACGTAAACAAAAATTCACAACTACAAATACAATTATAGGCATAAAGCGAAACGAAGCGAGAAGAAAACGAGAGTGTAAGACACTTACATATATATATAGAGATATATGTATATACTATATAATTATATAGCTATCGAGGTGATGTAGGCCAATATATACATACATATAGACATATATTCACACACATCTGCATACATAATATCTATACATATTGTATAATCTTTAATGCACTAATTCATAGCTCATACTTACATGCATTTGTATGTAGTTAATCACCGTTATCTATAATAATCTTAACGGTTTTCTGTTTCACAGTTATTGTTGCACAATTTTCTTAAAGAAAAAACGTGAATGCAAAATAAGAACAACAAAATCACCAAAGGGCTTCCAGGATGCCAGCATGGCGGCGTGTGGCTTGCCGGCAAGCGATGGCGGGCGCACAAATGCCAGTTGGCATACAAATCTCAGAGTGTAGACTAATTGTAGGTTAAAAAAAAAATAAAAATAAAAAAAAAATGTTAAATAATTAAACGCGTTAATATGAAATATTGTGCAACATTTCGAGTTAGAGGTTGGTTTTGAAAAAAAATTTTTTGGTCTCGTTTTTTAAGCTTTTTTTTGATGGCATAAAATCAAAAAATTATCATTTAAAAAAAAATTAAATATTTTTGAAGAAATGTATTTTTACAATATATAATTTTTTTTTGAGAAATTTAATTTAAAAAATATAACAAAAAAAATTATGAAAAACAAACTTTTTGGTTTTTAAATTAAAGAAGTTGCATAAAAGCTAAGTAGTTTTAATGAAATCCTTATTTAAATTTGCTTGAAGAAATATATTTTTTAATTTTTTTTTTTTACAAAACATAACATTTGAAACAACCTAATTTTTAAAATAAAATTTTTCTAAATAAGCAAATGACAAAAATATTTAAATATGCTAACACAAATACTCTTTTAAATATTTTTTCAATGGGTTTTGTATTACTACTTTTTTTACAATTTTATTTATTTTTTATTTTTGATTTTTTTTAACTTTTTGAATGTTTTGAAAATAAATAACAAAGATATAAAGCAAATAATTAATTAAAATTTCTAAATCTATTTTTACACTTTTTTGACAGATTTTCCAATTTAAATAATTAAAAAAAATTTTAAAATGCAAGGAAAATTTTTGGACTATTTCAAATTTATAAAAAAATCAAAAAAATAAATTTGAAAAAATTAATCTTTTTAAAAATGTTATAAATAATTTAAAATTATTGAAACAAATATACACATACCTAATTGTTGTTTAATATAATATTGGCATATTGTGATATGCGTACGCATGTACGAAAAATCCAAATAAATTTTGAAAGTTTCGTCGAAAAATTATTTTGACGCATTTAAAAATAAAAAAAATTGATAAAACATTTAAAAAAATTTAATATTTTTTAAATATTTCATAAGATTTATATTTAAGAAAAAACCCAAAACTATTTTAAAATTTTTTAAAATTTTAACGGAAAATTATTTTGACCTTAATAATTGAAAATTGTGCTGTGTTAAGAAACGCAATTACAAAATTCTCAAATCAGATTAATTTAAAAAACAAATCTGTATTTAATTGAGTATAAACTTGTGCCATTTAATTAATTAAATAAAAAACTAATTCCTTCTTTTTTTAAGTATTCAATATCTATTATATAATTAATTTCATATATTTTACAAAAATTAATGGTTTTAAAATTTTACTCAATTATATTATATTTATTTTTCGTAAAAAAAGTGAAGTAATTAAAATTTGCAATAGTCCTTATATATTATTTTTGTTAATTTTTTTAGTAAATTTTTTCGCTTTTTTTCAATGAACTCATCTTATTTTGTTTGACTTTCACAAATTAATAATTTCAAAAAATAAATTTTTCGTATTTTTTAGATTTTATTTCTCTTTACAAATATATTTTTTCTTCCTCTGATTTTATTTTTTGCAGATAATTTTTTTATATTGAAAGCATCTTTTTCATCACTGAAGAAAATATAATTTTTATATAAAATAATAAGCTTTCCTTTTCAAATAAAAATTTCAATGCAAGTACAAGAAATAGAATTGCCAAAATAGGTGTATTATTTTTTAGCCAAAACTACGAAATAAATATAGGAATTATAAAAAAAATAGAAATAAATATAAAATACATAAATAAACTCTTTTTGTAGTAATATTAAGCTACTTTGGAAGACAAATGTTAAATAAGCACACATTGTATAGAAAATAATGAATATAATAGAGAAAAACAAAAGACAAAAATCGTTTTGGAAGACATTTTTCATATTCAAGAAATATGAAACCTTTTGAAAATCCGCAAACAGCAAAGGATAAAAAATTTTGGAAGATAACGCTGTACACTTGACCCAAGCGTTAATTACAATAAAAAAAAAATATACATATATATATATAAATATAATAAAAATAAATTATAGAAAATATTTAAATAATGCTTAAGGGGGATTACACAAAGCAGAAATTAGCAGAATTATAAAAAAGAAGTTATAAGATATATAAAACCAATTAATATAAATAATTATAATGAAATGATTTAAGTTAAAAGAATTATTATTTCACTTTGATGAAAGCTCAGACAAAGAGGCACAGCTTTCTACACCTAAAAGAAAGGAGCGAGTGTTTTTTTGTTTGTCATTTTGGCTGAAATCTACGCTGTGACTGACAATAACGGCAAATTCTTAACGCAACCACACGCCAGTGACTAACTGTAGTACGGTGTGGTTGGCGAGAATTTCCACAATGACATAGCGCAAAGTAAATTATGCAATAATTATATAAAAAAAAAATAATAAAAATATGTTTTGGAGGACAAAATAAAGTTAATTTAGTGCGAGTAATACACAAATATAAACAAATATAAATATTAGCGGCATTAATTGAAGCATATCGTAATATAATGTATATGTATGAATGTAAGAAGTTTGTAAAAACAGAAATTGTTAAGACAAACGGATAAAAATTATTACAACGTTTCAAAAATAAACAACTAAAAAAGAAACAAGAAGGAAGAAATAATAGTAATTAAAAAAAAAAACAGCAACAAAAAATAGAAACAGAATTATCAACAGAAATAGTATTAACAACAGAAATAATATAAACAATAGAAACACACAAAATGTATTAGAAAGTTTCAAAACACAAAAAGATATAATAATAATTAAAAAACAACAGCAACAGAAGATGTGCTGACAACATAAATAATATGAACAACAGAAACAGCATTAGTCACAGAAACACTCTTAAACTCAACCATGTAAAATATCAGACATAAAACTCATTTCACGTTTTCTTTTTCTGTTCAAAGTGTTTGTCCAACACTACAAATTTATATGGGAGCAAATTTTCAGAGCACAGCCAAAGTTAAGCAAGAAACCAATTTTGATGTCGACACCATTTTAAGCGTAAAAAAAAACATAATTATTAAATAATCCTCAGCACTTTTAATGTTAACTGAAATTTATGCATATTAAGTGTCGTATTCCAATTTCTTATTGTCTTTAAATGCACCTAATTAATCCAAAAAATGCACGCACCCCCCTCTTCCAAAAGGCAACAATGCAAATTAACAAAAACACACATATTATGGTATTATATAAAATATATAAATGCATATCTCTCCAAATATATATAAATAAAAATTCACTTAGTTTCTTTCGCTAATTACTTGCCTGTTGATTGTATGTATTTGTACTGTTGTAACTGTATTGTATTGTAATCTAGTTGTTAACTGCCATTCGACTTTGTTTTACTTCCACAAAAAAAAAAAAAAAAAAAAAAAATAAGATTACAAAAACAAAGGATTCGTTTAGTATGGATAATGTCACTTAATTACTAACTTTGGCTAACCAAATAATGAAAAAAATATTTCAAATACTTTCAATTACATAATTATCTTAAATAAATGAATAACAAGAATATAAGCACTTTACAATATTCAAACTTTATAAGTGTGTAGCTGAATACCATATATAAAATAACAACAAAAAACGAGAGCATAAATTGTCCTTTTCGTGACTACACAACGGCGAAAACCGAAGCGAACTGCAAAGAGGAATGCCACGAATTGTTTATTTGCTTATCAATATATGTAGCTGGATACATCAATGTACATCAATGCATACGTACATATGTTTATGTATTTTTAATGAAATCTCCAGCATATAACAAATATTTAATGAAATTAATAAACAATTATATAGTTGAATGTTGTGAGGTCAACGTCAATGGAAATTTTTAATATTTTACGACTATAATTGTAAGTATCAGTTTTCATTGGGGTTATAAAGAATTGTAAATGGTATGTAGTATGTGTGTAAAGCGAAATTTTGCGACTTAATCACACTAAAATCTAAAGGGATTGTAAAATAAAAGATCTCCCGAAATTAAAGCAAAATTGTAATTAAATACAGGGTGTGCCAAAATTAATGGAATATTTGTGTAGTAATGTGTTTACAACACCAAGGAAGAACAAGTTAGGAAGGGCTAACTTCGGGTGCAACCGTACATTTTACACTCTTGCAACTTGTAGGAATCAAAGCCTGCGCAATACCTTAGGGTGTAAAACGTCAAGCAAATGAACGGAATTCAAAGAATTTTATACATATCACCGTCACCTAAATTACAAAATAACGTATCATCAAAAATTCGAAATTGAGTGTCTTATTGATTACGAGGCACTACTTCAAATTACATACATAATATTGCATATGTCCAACATTTTCAGGTTCTGCGCTCATATACATATGAACCAGTTTTAACCAATATTAAAAGTTTTTTTCACTCTTGTTCCATTTTATTTCGTGTTTCATTCACGCCACTGTAAATTCGATATATACTATATATAACTCACATACTGACCGACGTATTCGATATAATGTTTGTTAGAAAAATGAAAATTATTG